CGCACCCGCTCCCGCACCCGCACCCGCGCCCGCTCCCGAGCCCTCACCCGCATCCGCGCCCGCGCCCGCACCCACTCTCGCACCCGCTCTCGCACCCGCGCCCACGCCCGCACCCGCACCCGCTCCCGCACCCGCGCCCGCGCCCGCACCCGCTCCCGCTTCCGCACCCGCACCCGCGCCCGCTCCCGCACCGACACCCACTCCCGCGTCCGCACCCGCGCCCGCTCCCGCGCCCGCGCCCGCTCTCGCACCCGCACCTGCTCCCGCGCCCGCTCCCGCACCGACACCCACTTCCGCGTCCGCTCCCGCGCCCGCGCCCGCTCTCGCACCCGCACCCGCTCCCGCGCCCGCACCCGCTCCCGCGCCCGCTCTCTCGCCCGCACCCGCTCCCGCTCCCGCACCCGCACCCGCTCCCGCACCCGCTCCCGCGCCCGCTCCCGAGCCCTCACCCGCATCCGCGCCCGCATGCCGGGTTTGGCTAGAGCCAGAAGAACCTGGAGCTTCAGAAACGCGCCCCGACGGCAGCGGCCGGCGGGAAGGCTCTTTGGGGGGCGGGGGGGAGGCTCCTGCGCCTCCCGGGACCTCCGGCCGCGCGGAAACCCCGGGCAGCGGCGGGGGGTGGGGTGGGGGAGGAGCCGCCACCAGCTCGACGCGCTCCGGCGCGGGTGGGCGCGCAAGGGGCCCCGGGGGACCGCGTCGCATCAAAAGCACGTGTGAGGCTGTCCCCGGCGGTGACACGGGCGGCGGCCGCGACCTCCTCAGCGCCAGGGTGTGCGTGTGTCCCCGAGATTCCCCAAGACACGCGGCCGCTCGGCGAGGCCTGCTCTGGCTGGAGGATGTGGCCCGACGGTGCGCCGGGAAGTCCCCGCCGGCTGCCCCTGCCCTGCAGTGTGTCCTCAGGTAAAGCCACCTCAGTGTCTGCTCCGGTCCACGGAAGGTCTTCGTGGCTTTCTTCCCCCGACGCGTCCTCACGTGGACGGAGCTATTCCGCACGATAAAATGTGCCCTTTTTGTCAATGTACTGCCTCTGCCCTCAGTTCTGTCTGGTCCAGAATTACGCTTGTGATCTCGGTTTCCTTTGTGTTCTCATGTGTAATTCGGCTGTGCCCACTCTTTTTAACTGTTTTGAGTCATTTCCTGTTGGTCGGTTTGTTATCATTTGGAAAATGTATTAGAAATATGGATACCCTGGGCCCACCTCTAGAGTTAATCTTTATTTATTTAGAACTCAGAAATCTCCAGTTAATCTAACAATTAACCAGAGTTAGGATAAGTGTGTCCTCGTATACAGTATAGTTAATTTTTGCTTTGTCATTCACTTTTTTTGAATATGGCTCATTTACATTTATTGACATGACGTTTAATCTTAGCTAATATTATTTTTTAATCTTCTACTGTATGGTCAGTGTTTTCTTTCTCTTTTTATCTTTAAAGTCCAGGACTGACACATCAACATTAGTTACCTGTTTTTCCTAGGATCTGCTATAACTTTTCAACATGTATATTCATCTTTTATTTTTGGAATGTTTTCCTAATTCATATGTTTAAGTATTTTTTTTTTTTCTGTACTAGTCTTTTAGTCCATTCACATGAGTACTTTTTGTGGGTTTCTTAGATGGCAGATTTTATTCTAGATGTTGGGTGACAGCAGTGAGGGAAACAGACCAAACTCCAGTGTCATGGAGCTTATAGCTGGGAGTAGCAAGACAATGAACAACACAGATAAACCAAATATATAGTACGTTAGGTGAGCAGAAGTGGTGAGGAGGAAAGTAAAGCAGGGAAAGGGGAGGGGGCAGTTGGCAACTGAGTACAGACCTCAAGGAGGTAGGAGTGTGTGTCATGCTTTTCCGTCTGGGGAAGAGAACTCTAGGCAGAGGAGACAGTGCACAGTTAACGGAAGGCGGGATGTGCCTGGAATGTTCAAGGAACAGCAGGAAAGCGAAAGTAGCAGAGGGAAGGGAAAAGGGAGATGCTCAGCTGGGCGGTGGTGGACCACGTCACGTAAGGCTGTGTGGGCAACTGTGAGACACCTTAGCTTCTGTGCTGAGTATGTTAAGTCACTGAGCGATTTTGTTCTGGGAAGTTCCATGGAGAGATTTACATCACTTTACCTTCTGTTTTGAAATAGGCAGGCAAGGGTGGATGTTGCGAGACTGATTTAAAAACTATAATAGTAATCCAGATGACATGTAATGATGTCTTAGACCAGAACGATAATTGTGGAAATGATGAGAAGTGATCACATTCTGTGTTACATTTTGAAAGTTGAGTCACCAGGATGTGTGGGAAAGTTGAAAGATCTGGAGGGACCTCAAAGAGACTAAGAAAGAATGGCCAGCGAGGTAGGAGGAAGCCTGAGGAATCTGTTGTCCTATCAGCCAACTGAAGAAGGTGTTTCAAAGAGGAAAAAATGATCAATAGTGTCAAAGCTATCGTAAGGTGAAAGTCAAATACTGACCGCTGAATCCATTGGTCTGAATTAAAGGACCACCTGTCTCTGCAAACACTAATTATTTGTGTACTGTATCACCTGTTCCTGTCTCATATAGCTGTCTGTATTCTATACTCTGTAGTTGTCACTTTGTCTCTCGTCCTTGTCCACTCATCATTTCAATTTATTTCATTTTTTTTCTCAATCCTATCATGTCACTTGCTATGTTTTTCAGCATTGATTTATTTTTGTGTTGATTACAATTTGGTTTTTGTATTTCTCCACATCTTTTCTGAGCTTTTTCAGCTCTCGTTTCTTCTCCCCATCTCAAAAAAAAAAAAAAAAAAAAAAAACCTTTCCTGAGCTCTGATGTCTCTCCTGTGTATTATTGCTTGTTTTTTTTTCTTAATATTTTATTTATTTGACAGAGAGAGAGATCACAAGTAGAGAGAGAGAGAGAGAGAGAGGAGGAGGCAGGCTCCCCACCTAGCAGAGAGCCTGATGCGGGACTTGATCCCAGAACCCTGAGATCAGGACCTGAGCAGAAGGCAGAGGCTCAACCCACTGAGCCACCCAGGCAGCCCCTGCATTACTGTTTTATAGAAGCGATTGCCTCATTAAGTTTTTCAGTGACAATAATATGCCACTTTTGGTTACAATTTCATCTATTTTGTGACAATATTTTTTGATGAGCATTCTTCATCTGTCATAAGTTTTTCTATTTTTTTCTTAAATATATTTAGACAGATGCTGTTCTAGTTCCTTGATGATCATTACTCATCTTTGAATTAGGTAAGTTCTTTCTGGTCTGGCTATTTGCAGGAAGTATACATGGGAAAGAACACATATGAAGTGAATTATGAATTATGGATTATGCCACGGAGTTGCTTGCATGGATCCTTTCCGCCTTCCTTTTCCTTGAGCCAACAGAGACTGGCTCATTGTGTCTCACAATGTAGATTCCGTTTCCTCCACAATGCGGAATCTGTCTCTTCCGTCGTACCCACCACCAGATTACTTCTTCCAAACATGTCTTGTCAGTATGATTCGATGCTAATCTTTGCTTTCCTTGAAGTTTGAAATTTTTTGCTAAGTAGACCCAGGAAAGAGCCTGCCGCCATCCTGCATACCCATTCCTATTGTTTCAGACTGAGAATTGTGTGTTTCTTTTTCTGCTCCTCAAGGTAGAGGCAACTTTTTAGGAAAACTGTGCTCTGCTAGCATTTCCTGTGGACAGTGGCCATGGGCTATCTTGCTCATGTCTTCTGGTAACTCACACCTACTGTTTGTGACTCAACATTGTAGATGTCTCCTGCTTTTATTGAAAATGAGATTACATTTCTGTTGATCTTTCTTAATGCTTTTGCATTATTTCTGTTAATAGAGGGAAATGCCGTCTTTATTCCATTTAAAATTAGGAAATTATATTCACATTTAAAAATATTTTGTGTTGCACAAATATAATCACCAATTACCATTACAATGTCTGCAATGGCAAATATTTCCAAATTGGCAGTATATTCAATTAATTTTAATCAGTTGCTTTACTTTTTAGAAATTTATTAAGTGTTAGAGTGCACTTTATTTTGGTGTAGAGGAGGCTACTTTATGCTCAAACTTATATTAACTGTGATTTAATGTGACATACCGGTAGACATATTTGTTTGTGGGCATTCTCTCCTACATAAGCAGATATTTATAGTGAGAGATATTATGGACTTATGTTTTTAAATAAAAACTGAATAAATCTTATAAAATTCAATGTTTTTTTAATTAAAATTCAATCAGCCAACATACAGTACACTCTTAGTTTCAGATGCAGTGTTCAACAGTTCATTAGTTGTGTTAGTGTATACCACCAGAGCTTATCACATCACATGCCCACCAATTAATTTTTGTTCCTTTATTTTTAGAATGGAATCCCAGCTCTAATAAGTCTTTTGAGGTTAGACATAGAAAATGTGCTAATAAATGTAATGAACTGTATACGGGTGTTATGTATGGGAAATGAACAAAACCAAAGAGCAGTGAGAGACCATAAAGGCATCCGATATCTTATCACATTTCTGAGTTCTGATTCAGGTGAGCCTCAATTTCTGTTTTATTTCTAAGCGATCAGATATATGAACTGAAGCAAATACAGGTTGGACTTGTCCAGTAGGAATGCGTGTCCTAGAATGGATCTACACGTGTATAATGTAAACTAAATACCCAAAACACTCAAGTTCAAATGCTGGTTTATAAAGGAATTGACTCTCAGAGTTACGGTTTAAAAACAAAGTTTAATTAGACCTTGTTTTATAAATGGAAATACTGGCATAAATCATGAAAAGAATGCAGTTAATACGCCCAGGGACTTGAGTAGATAACTCCTTGTGTGAATGACACATATATTGGTCATTGGGAACCATTTAATAAGTTGCCACGAAAGCTTCAGATTCGCTGTTAGATATTGGAAATCGGAATTCTAGGTCATCAGGTCATTAGGCCAATTACCACATTCTGAATTACGTATTGGCACAAGAGCATCACAAGCTGTGAGGTAGCTCTAGTCTGCACTGCGGGTGGTCTCTTCCGTTCTGTAGGAATCAGCTCATTGCAGTGAGCAGACACACAACAGGGTAAGCCTCAAGTCCAGGGTTTCCCAAATTTGAGGGGATTAAAAAATGAGGGAAAGCTTGCCCGTTTTTCTTCCTCAGTTTACCATCTTTCTGTTCTAGTTTTCCAGGAATAAAGATAGAAAAATGTTAGTCGGGGTATGGATGAGGGGGTGTCTCACAGAACTTGCTCTTACGTTAGAGCTTCAGAGCTAGTAATTCCGGCCTGCTGGGCACCCTGGCTGGCTCAGTCAGTGACGTGTCTGCCTTTCACTCAGGTCATGATTCCCGGGTCCTGGGATCGAGCCTCACATCTGGCTCCTTGTTCAGTGAGGAACCTGCGTCTTCCTCTGCCTGCCACTCCCCTTGCTTGTGCTTTCTCTCTGACAAAGAAAATCTTTTAAAAAATGGTCATCTTCTAAGAACCTCTCTTGTATGGGGAAATCATTTGAAGTCCTTTCCCTTCATTAAAATTCCCAAGGTCATCTGCTCTAATTGGCCACATCAGTAACTAGGCTCCACTTTATCTTTTTTTTTTTTTTTTTTTAAGTAGGCTCCACACCCACTGTGTAGCCCAGTGCAGGGCCTGAATTCAGGACCCTGAGATCCTGAGCTGAGATCAAGAGACAGACAGTAACCAACGGAACCACCCAGGTTTCCCAACTGTATCATTTTTAAGAACAGTGTTAGAGACAATGCATAGAATCATCAAATCACTATGTTCTGTGTTATACAGCCGAAATTGATACATTGTACTGCAGTTTTAAAAAATAGCATTATAAAAACAAATTTAAAAAATAGCATTATAGCGGCACGTGGGTGGCTCAGTGGGTTAAGCATCTGCCTTCCGCTCAGGTCATGATCTCAGGGTCTGGGATCGAGCCCAACTTTGGGTGCTCTGCTCAGCGGGGAGCCTGTTTCTCCCTCTCTCTCTGCCTGAGGCTCCCCCTGCTCATCCTCTCTTCTCTCACAGAAATAAATAAATAAAATTCTTTTTTTTAAAGAAGTTTTAAAAAAGCATGAGAGAGCCAGCTTTTATGCTTATTTCAGCCATAGAATTCTTTACTTGTTTCTAATAGTTCTTTATTTTACTATTTCTGTCTTATCTCCTTAATTAAAATGTAAAGACAGAGCAGGGCATGCCTGGGTGGCTCATTTGGTTAAGCGTCTAACTCTTGATTTCAGTTCAAGCCCTAATCTTAGGGTTGTGAGATTGAGCCCAAGTCCGGCTCTGTGCTGGGTGTGAAGCTGCCTCAAGATTCTCTCCCTCTGCCTCTGCCCCTCCCCCCCTAAAAAAATGTAAAGACAGGGCTAGTTTTTCCCTATCCGTTTTCGTCCTCCAAATCCTAGATGCTAGAACAAAGCACAAATTATAGAGGCCGTTTGAACAAATACAGTAAATAAATTCATGAAAGAAAACTGTAGAAATAAATTGTTGAAATTGTTTCTTTTGGGCTCTTGCCTTATCTTATGAATGTAACTTATCCTACTCTGTGATCTATTTTATCTCCTCATTCCAAGGAAGATAATTTTGGGGGGAAAAAAGTTAATCATTTTTTCCTCTTCGTTTATAATTTATAAATGCCTCATTTATAATTTTAGTGCTTTAACAAATAATTCTCTGGGCTGTTAGCCGGGTTGTAATGTGTAGGGGTTCTAAAAGGAGTTTTATTAATTCCAGTATCTTCTTAACCGTTCTCACCCGCTCCAAGATTTCACGCATTGAGGGAAAATGGCCCCAGAGCGGAGGCACGGGCAGTTTCCTGAGGCGACGGATTCATTAGTATCTCCTCCGTCCCGCCCCTGGCTCCGGGACTTCCTGCCTTGCCGGCTTCGGTTGGGTGTCCAGCGCCCGAGCCGTCCCCCGCCGCTCGGCCCTTGCTGTGCGCCTTCCGCGGGCGCGCCGACCCGCCGCCTCGCGCCGCCTGAGTTCATCCCTGCGGCCGCCAGCGTCCCGTCCCGTGCTCGTGGCCGGCGTTCGCAGACCCCGCCGCGGAAGCACACAGCTGTACAGAAACTGGCCAAACGCTTCTCAGCTGCAAACTGTCCGCAGAACTTGGGGAGCTCGTCGTCCTTGGTCGGCTGCGCACCCGCACGGCTCGCGGCGGTGCGCTCTCCGCGCTCCCTGCGGGCCTAGGTCACGGACAGGGCCTGCAGTCAGGCCCTTGCAGAATCGGAAGACTTCGCAATTCAGTTCACAGGACTTGAGATTCAGACCATCTCCATTCCTTTTTACCTTTTTTTTTTAATATTTTATTGATTTATTTGACAGACAGAGGTCACAAGTAGGCAGAGGGGCAGGCAGAGGGAGAGGGGGAAGCAGGGTCCCTGCTGAGCAGAGAGCCCGATGCGGGGCTCGATCCCAGGACCCCGAGACCATGACCTGAGCCGAAGGCAGAGGCTCAACCCACTGAGCCACCCAGGCGCCCCAGACCATCTCCATTCTCAACTCTTCTACAGACCAACTCCATCTACACCCTTAAAGCGGGGTTCCTCAGCCTCTGTTCTCGGTCTTTGTTGTTGGTTCGTTGGTTGGTTGGTTGGTTTTTAATCTACCACAGTCTCCTAAGCAATTGTATTTACTCTTCAGAGCTTCGTTATGGTTCGGATCCGCTCTTGCTGGCTCTCTGAGTCCCTGCTTTTCCTCTAAGCATTGGAGACTGTTTGGGTTATTGAGGCGCTAAGATAGTCCCTCTCCCTTTAGAATTTGGATCCAGTTGGTAAGTAGACACAGGAGTCAAATAGATGAAAACTTCAGCCTCACTGTTGGGAAGTTTGCTTCGAGAAAAGAGAAAAAAAAATAGTGCCAAAAGAACCCAAGTCATGCGTTTGTGATGACTGATTCTCCAAAGTAAGAAATTTTGTAACTCACTATTCCTTTCTTTATTTTCTTAAAAATTTTATTTATTTATTTGACAGAGATCACAAGCAGGCAGAGTGAGAGGGAAGCAGGCTCCCCGCCGAGCAGAAAGTCCGATGCAGGGCTCGATCCCAGGACTCTGAAATCATGACCTGAGCCGAAGGCAGAGGCTTAGCCCACTGAGCCACCCAGGCGCCCCCTCACTATTCCAAAATGAGCAACACACCGAGTATAGGAATTTCCACTTTTTGGACTGACTCAGCAGTACAGGGTAAAAAAATGATCCCCCCACACTCTCTTAATTTTAGTAACCTACTGGGTTTAACATTCCAAGTATTACTAGAGTTATATAGGTAATTGCAAAGTTGATCACATTTTTGCCCTTTTAAAAATCATTCACTGGTTCTTTGTCACCTAAGATAAAGCCCAAATTTCTGTCATAGCTTATATGCCCTTCTAACCTAATCCCAAATAGAAATGACCTTCCCATCACTTCCTGTCACTCCCTCCCTTATTTTACTCTGAGTTAGTGTGGAACATATTGCTATTTCATACTTCTGGCCTTTGGCTTGTCCCATAAGGCTCAAGGACTTTGTCTTGTCAGTTCATCACTGTTTCTCTGTGCCTAAGACAGTGCCTGGCATGTAGTAGCTCCTCAATAAAGTATTTGCCGAGAAAACAAATGATTGAATGATGAAAATATTCATAATAAAAAGTTAATATATTTGGTATGTGATAGGCACACACATGCACACACACAGAGGCACACACACATGCACACACACACATGCACACACACAGAGGCACACACACACATGCACAAAAACATACACACACACAAATATGAACAATTGGCCTTAATAGAGAGAACTAACCTGAATAGTCTGGGAAGCAGCAGCACTAGGTTTCGAGTCTGCCCACTCGAATACAAAGACACCTTCTGCACAGTTTTGACTTTGGGAAACATGTGTCTTACATATTACAAAAAAGCACATTAGATCTACAAGGCTACTGGGGGGAGACTAAAATTTAAAACAAGCAGAAACAAACGAACCCAACTAGATTTCAAATGAATTACGTAAAGATTTTATTTTATTTTGTTTATTTATTAGAGAGAGAGAGAGAGGGAGAAGCAGACTCCCTGCTGAGCAGGGAGCCCAACAGGGGCCTTGATCCCAGGACCCTGAAACCAGGACCCAAGCCGAAGGCAGATGCTCAACTGGCTGAGTCACCCAGGCGCCCCACATGAAGGCTTTAAAAGAAGAAGAAAAAAATTAATAACCTGTGACTTTTGAACACAGCCCTTCACAGGCACCTGGGTGGCTCAGTCGGTTAAGCATCTGACTCTTTATCTCAGATCAGGTCTTGATCTCAGGGTCGTGAGTTCAAGCCCCACATTGGGCTCCAAGCTGGGTGTGGACCCTGCTTAAAAAAACAAAACAAAATGGGTGAACATAGCACTTCATTTATATAATCTCAGCCTAGAGGAGAAAAAAGATAACTGCAAACATATCTTGGATTTGTATTTCATAGTGATATGGGTGAAACGGCTCTGAACCTGTGTTCTGAGTATTGTAGAATTGAACAAGTGAATAAATATATTGATAGTATTGTGGTCTCGCTGTGAAAAGAAGTATACAGAATACGGGAAGGCAATGAAGAATCCTGTAGGGTTGGGCTGGAATTGGAAAATTGGAAACATACTTATCTTCCTAGTTTTGTCTGCTAGGAGAATCTAGAAGCAATGATATTTCAGTAGAAATGAACATATCTAGTACCCAAAAATCTTGATTTCTAAGTACCATTCCTCATTAAAAGAAAAGAGAATGTGAAGAAATGGTTCATTTCAGGGCAGGAGCAGAGCAGGTATGTGGTAAGTTTAAAACGTCATGACAGAAAGTAAGAAAAAGCTATAAAAAATGGACGTATATCAATTTTTGCTGAATCTTGAGGGAGTTCTTGGACTTCTGTAAATTTTCTGTAAGTTTTAAAGAGAACAAATACAACTGGTTAATAAGAATGTATGAAACTATAGATTCAACAGTATCCAAAAATATGAAATAAAAGGAGACACAGTTTTTTGCTTATCAACTTAGCTAAATGTATGTATTTATTCTTAATGCTGGTATCTCTTTATCTATACTTAAAACTGTACAGTCACATTGAAATTCTTATACTCTGATTATGGAAGGGTAAAATGCAATTATCATTTTTGGAAACTAATTTACTGTGATATATTAAATTATTCCAATAATTTAATATTACTGGGACTCTATATACTAAGGGAAAATCCAGGAAAGAAAAATAACTTTTGTGCCAAGATTTCTCCTAAATATTGTTTAACACAGTGAAAAGTTGGAAATGACATCTATTTTTTTAAAAGGTGAATGGATAAGGAAATGTAATACACTCATTAATGGAACATTTAAGAGACACTGATGCTCATAAAGAATGAGAAAATGTTTTACTGGTAAATTAAAATGTAAGGTATTGTGTTTATAGTACAACTATGTTAATATGACTGTAACACTACTTAAATATACTTTTCCTTAAAAAAGTGAAATAGACTAAAGGAAATACTTGCATTTGGGTGGTGAGAATCTGGACAATTTTATTCCTATTTTTCTTATTTTCTAAGTTTTCTATACACTCTAAGTTGGATTTTGTTAATAAGGAATCTAATGATAAGTTGCATTTTTATATTTTTAAAAGGTTTGTTTAACTGTTTCTTGAATTCATTTGAAGATGTGCTGAAGGCTGTATCTTCTGCCACAATCGCTGAGGTTGCCCGTGACAACAGGGATGTTCAGGACGCTATTGCTCTGGAGGGAGCCATTCCTCCTCTGGTGGCTCTTTTTAAAGGGAAACAACTTAGTGTCCAAGTGAAGGGAGCAATGGCTGTGGAATCACTGGCTAGTTACAACCCGTATATACAGAGAGCATTTCTGGAAAAATCATTAAGTAAATATCTTTTAAAACTCCTCAAGGTAGGAATTTTATGATAACTTGTCATTTTTCTTAGACAAAGTATTCAATACTGAATTTAGTAAAGTGAGAAGAAAACTAAATCCAACTCTTTTTTTCTTTTTTTTAAGATTTTATTTATTTGACAGAGAGAGACAGCGAGAGAGGGAACACAAGCAAGCAGAGGTAGTGGGAGAGGGAGAAGCAGGCTTCCCACTGAGCAGGGAGCCCAATGCAGGGCTTGATCCCAGGACCCTGAGATCATGACCTGAGCTGAAGGCAGACGCTTGACGACTGAGCCACCCAGGCGTCCCTAAAACGAATTCTTGAATGAACTTTTTTAAAAAGATTTTACTTATTTGTTTGTTGGTTGGTTGGCTTGTTTTAGAGAGAGTGCGCGAGCCTGTTGCGGGGGGCAGGGAAGAAGCTCAAGCGGACACCGCGCCTGGTGTGGAGCCTGACACCGGGCTCGACTCATGACCCTGAGATCATGATAGGAGCCAAAACCAAGAGTTGGACACTTACTTGACTAAGTCACCCAGGCTCCCTTAGAATGAATATTTTATAAAACATCCCTACAATGTTCAATAAAGGTGCATTGGAAGAATGGAATTTTTTTTTTTAAATAGGCGTTTCAAACAGATGTTAAGGAACAAGGAGCTGTAACCCTTTGGGCCTTGGCGGGACAAACCCTGAAACAGCAGAAGTACATGGCAGAGCAGATCGGATACAACTTTATAATAAACATGCTTTTGTCGCCGTCTGCTAAAATGCAGTACGTTGGTAAGTTATTTCCTGTGCGTAAATCCACACCACGTGGAGCAGCACCTTGAAGTAGCCGACATATTTCTTGCTTTTCTTGACCAGGAGGTGAGGCGGTCATAGCCCTAAGTAAGGACAGCAGGATGCATCAGAACCAGATCTGCGAGGGCAATGGCATCGCTCCGTTGGTTCGCTTACTGAGGATTAGTAAAATCGCGGAAGGCACACTTCTGAGTGTCATCAGAGCCGTGGGGTCCATTTGTATTGGTTTGTAAAGTTTTTCTCCATTCTTAAATTATCAGTGAGATACTTCCCTTCCTCTCTGTCCGCGCTGATAAAGCCCTAAGTCATAATCTATAAAAGGCTTATCATTGTTTTTTATTTCTCTAAGACCTCAATGAGTAAAAGTGTGGGTGGCTCAGTGGGTTGAGCCTCTGCCTTCAGCTCAGGTCATGACCTCAGGGTCCTGGGATCGAGCCCCACATCTGGCTCTCTGCTCAGCCCGGAGCCTGCTTCTCCCTCTGTTTGCCTCTCTGCCTACTTGTGATCTCTCTCTCTCTTTCAAATAAATAAATAAAATCTTTTTAAAAAAATAAAAGTGGCCAATAAGTTTAGTTGTTCCTTTCATTGTAAAGGAACTAACATTTGGGGATGTCTGTAAGAGTGTATAGAATTGTCAGTGATTGAGCTACCAAAAATAAACATTGGAGTTCTTTGCTGACCTTCATGAATGCATGAAGCTGATTGTAGACTGTTTCTTATACATAAGAAAAAAAATCTTTATGTGTAGTTGATAGTATTTCCTCAAAAAATAGTCTAGCTGAAGGAAGAATGTAGGAATTGGTTCCAAAAAGATTTTTTTTCTCCATGCTTGAAAAAGCTACTTTGCTGAAGTTCATTAAAGCTCCAAGACAGTCAGTCAGACAAAATAATGTTTCTTTTTTTAGCCAGAGCCTATGGTATAGATTATAGAGATTTCTAAAATTCTAATAGATGACAACATATATACAAAACTACCATGTGTGTGTGTGTACATGCCCGTACACAAATGCGATTTCTTCTCATTACTTCACTTTGAAGCTGTCTACAAACCATCTACATTTGCCACAGACAAGGGGATCTCCACGAGAATTGTAGAGGAAAACTCTTGATTTCAAATTTACTGGTTTAGAGTGGGTATACATACACACACACCTCCCTTTTTCTTCTTCCTCATGTTCATTTTTTCTTCTACACTCTTGAACATATGTAACATATTTAAAATAGCTGTTTTAACGTCCCTGTAATGAGTTCCGGCATCTGTAGCATTTCTGGGTCTCTACTGGCCAATATTTTTTCCTGATTATGAATCATATTTTCCTGCTTCTTTGCATGCCCAGAAAATTTTAAATGTGGGTTTTTAAAGACCTATTGAAATAGTTTACATACAATAAAATATTTATTTATTTTTAAAGATTTTATTTCAGAGAAAGAGCATGTTCGTGTAAGCGCAAGCACACGGGGGGCGGGGGCGGAGGGGGGTGCAGACTCCCTGCTGAGCAGGGAGACCCACATGGAACTTGATCCCAGGACCCTGAGTTCATGACCTGAGCTGAAGAGAGACGCTTAACCAACTGAGCCACCCAGGAGCCCCACAATAAAATATTTAAATAAAATATACAATAGAATAAAATATAAAAATACATTAAACCATACAATTTGGCGAGTTTTAACATGTGCATTCAGCTGTGACACCATCACAGTAGTCAAATAAATGAATATAGCCATCACCCCAAATGGTTTCATTGTGTGCCTTTGGAATCCCCCCTCTTTGCACTTCCATCCCCAGGGAACCACTGATGTTTTCTATCACTATAGATTAGTTTGTATTTTCTAGAATTTTCTGTAACTAGATTTTACAGCCATGCCTTTTTCTTGCTGCTTTCACTCAGCATAGCTACTTTGATATTTATGCATATGTGTTCACTGTTTTAATGCTGAGTCGTATTCCATTGTATGGTATGATGGATGATTTTATGACTTATGGTACCTGTAGTTATTATCTGCCTCCCTACATGCATACACACGCTGTTGCTGTTCCTCTGGCCGGCCTGACAAATGCACACGGACATACTATGACCCGATCCAGGCGCCCACTCATGGGCATTTAGATTGTTGCCAGTTTCCTGCTATTATACATGAAGCTGCCATGCGCATTTGTGTGTAAGTCTTTGTACAAACACAGATGTTTCCATTTCTCTTGAGTAAATACCAAAAAGGATTCCTGGGTCATTGAGTAGGTGTGTGTTTAACTTACAGAGAAACTGCCAGACTGTTTTTCAAAGTTGTGCTATTACTTTGCATTCCTACTAGCAGTGTATGAGAGTTCCAACAGCTTCACATCCTTGCCAACACTTAGTACGATGATTTTGGCCATTCGAGTGCATATGTAGTAAATCTCATTATGGTTTTAACTTGTATTTCCCTAATGATTAATGATGCAGAACATCTGTTCATGTGCTTAGTTGCTATTTGTATATCCTTTTTGGTGAAGTGTCTGTTCAGATATTTTTCCCTTATTTTTACTTTTTTCTTTTTTAAAGATTTTATTTATTTATTTGACACAGAGAGAGAGAGATCACAAGTAGGCAGAGAGGCAGGCAGAGAGAGAGAGGAGGAAGCAGACTCCCTGCTGAGCAGAGAGCCCGATGTGGGGCTTGATCCCAGGACCCCTGAGATCGTGACCTGAGCCGAAGGCAGAGACTTAACCCACTGAGCCACCCAGGCGCCCCTATTTTGCCCGTTTTTTAAATTGTGTTGTCTTATTGAATTGTAAGCATTCTTTATATATTCTAGATACAAATAATTTCTTAGATGTATATTTTGCTTATTCCCAGTCTATACTGTGTCTTTCATTTTTGTAACAGGGTCTTTTGAAGAGCAAAAGTTTTTAATTTTGATGAAGTCCAATTTATTGGTATTTTAAATTTAGTTCATAAGTTTTGTGTCCTCTTTAAGAAATCTGCCAAACTCAAGATCACAAAGGTTTTCTGTTTTTCTCTGTATTTAGACATATGATCCATTTTGAGTTAATTTTTGCATATGGCCAAGATTTTTTTTTTATATGGCTGTCCAATTGTTTCAGCTCCATTTATTGAAAAGATTATCTTTTCCTCCATTGAATTTTTCTGAGTTATTTCTGGACTTTTTATTCTGTTCTATTTACTCATTTGTCTATCTTTATGTTATACTCACTGTCTTAATTATTGAAAGTTTACAGTAAATCGTGGAGGCAGGAAGTATAAGTCCTTCAACGTTGCTATTCTTTTTCAAAGTTGTTTTGGCTACTCTAGGTCCTTTGCCATTCCATATAATTTAAAAAATCAGTCTGTCAATTTATGAAAAAGGTCTATTATTTTTATTGGAATTGCATGAAATCTATAAATAAATTTGTGGAGAACAGGCATCTCAGTAATATTAAGACTTCCAATCTATGAACTGTATGTCTCTCTACTTGTTTAAGTCTTCTTTAATATCAATCAGCAATGATTCCTAGTTTCCAATACATAATTCTTGTATATATTTTATCTTAGGTATATTTTATTTTAAAATTATGCATAATAAGTTTTGATTGAATGCTGGACATTGTGAATTGCAAACTGATAGATGCTGAATTTTTTGGTTTTCCTTTAAAGGGAGTTGGGTTTTTTCTGGCATGCAGTTATCTTACTTGGGATCAGTTTGCTCCATTTGCAGCTGGCTTTCAAGCTTTATTAGGACAATTCTAGAGCAGCTTTCACTCTGGAACTAACTTAACTCCACTATTAAGATGATATCGTTCCAAGAACTTAGTTCCTTATATAATCCCCTGAATTATGGGAATCTGAACTCTGGCCACAGAGCATAAACCATTCCTAGCGCTGAGTGAGCTCTGAGAATGGTTCAGCCTACTGCCCGTAGTGGTTCTTTTCCTAACCTAATGGAGTTTCATCCCATTATTAACATGTGAAGATTCAGTTAGAGATGGGATGGTATTCGTCTTATCATACTACCATCATCGTTATCATAATCATGATTATTTAAAAATATTCATTTTGGGGGGGACCTACATTAGCACCTTCACTCTTCAAAACCTCCCTGCTTACTCCATTTCCACTTACTCTGAGTTGAGCAATCCCTTTTCTGTGCTTCAAGTGTATTTTTTGTATCTTTGTTAAAGCACCCATTGCATGTACTGAAATGATGTATTTAAATAGTTGCTTCCCCTATAGAATATAAACACCTTGGAGGCAGAGATTCTAATTCCTCTTTTCCATTTTTTTTTTTTTTAAGTAAGCTCCATGCCCAATGTGGAGCCCAATGCAGGGCTTGAACTCATGATCCTGAGATTAAGACCTGAAGTGAGATGAAGATTCACACACTTAACTGACTGAACCACCCAGGCACCCTCTAATTTCTCTTTTTAACTCTACTTTTTACCTCAGTTCCTGATGAGTTAGGCATTCAAGACCTGCCAGCTGAATCAAGAATATTCATGTAGTCAATGTCTGTACATCCCTAGGTGGCCAGTGTGGGGGTTGGGGAGGAGGAAACAAACATGTCCTTTGTTCCTATTTCTTCCAGTTCCTTCAAACTTCCCCAGATGATAAGTGACTTCTCTCCATTGTTCAGAGAGAGGTCTGATCTTGTATTTATATTTAAGTATATAAACCTGCTGTGTATGTTGTGGTATTTGTTAGCAAAACAACAAAATTCAAATTATTTGTATATCCACTAGAGAGAGATGAGAAGTTTTTAAACTGAGATTGGCCTATAATTTAAAGTATTATGCTATAAAAGGAGACAGTGAGATTATCTTTTTAGTATGTGTATTTAAGGAATCTAGAAATTTTAACCAGGAGACTTACTCTAGTCATTTTTATAAAAATGCTTTTTTATGGAATACAATAACAACTACAAGCTTAAGTACCTTGCAAGTAATAAATCTTCAGTAAATGATAGTTTTTATATTATTATTCTTTGATAGTCTAACATTTCTCATTCCTTGGTTTTGTGACTAGAGAAAACATCCACTCTTCTAATAGTAATTTTTCCATGTTTATTCATTTTGCTTTTTAAAAAATTAATTCAGGTAAAATACTGTTGATATAGCATTTCCTTATTTTTAATTTAAATTCAATTAATTAATATATAATGTATTATTTGTTTCAGGGGGTACATGCCTGGGTCTCATTGGTCTTATATAATACCCAGTACTCATTACAAAACATACCCTCCCCAGTGTCTATCACCCAGTTACCCTATCCTCCCTCCAGCAATCCTCAGTTTGTTTCCTAAGATTAAAAGTCTCTGTGGTTTGTCCCCCTCTCTGGTTTCATCTTGTTTCATTTTTCCCTCCCTTCCCCTATGACTCTCTGCCTTGTTTCTTAATTCCACATATCAGTGAGATCATATGATAATTGTCTTTCTCTGGTTGACTTAATTCACTTAGCAAAATACCCTCTAGTTCTAGTTGCAAATGGCAAGATTTCATTTTCTGATGGCTGTGTAATATTCCATTGTATATATCTACCACATCTTCTTTAACCATTCATCTGCCAATGGACATCTGGGCTCTTTCCATAGTTAGGCTATTGTGGACATGCTGCTATAAACATTTGGGGGCAGGCTCCCCTTTGGACTACATTTGTATCTTTTTGGTAAATACCCGTAAAATATGGTGTTTCCTTTTGTAATTTATTAACCATATTATGCTAGAAAACTTAACCCAACATACCAATCTGTGTTTGACTTTATCATTTCCAAGATGGAAAGAAATATTCTTACTGATATGTATATTCTTATAGGTGTCGCCCATACAAGTAATCCTATCAGTCAACAATTTGTTGTAGAGGAAAATGCCTTTCCAGTACTTATTCAACTACTGAGAAATCACCCTTCTCCTAACATCAAGGTATATAAAAGGTTTTAAGGTTTTTTCTGATTAAGGGTTTTTTTCTGATGTAGTAAAAATTAACAGAAATAGGACTTTTTGAGAATAATTTGTATCTTTATGTAAATTCACAAGTATAATTAAAAATTTAACATTTTAAACAAAATTCTAGAAGTTTTAAATTAAAAAGTTGCTATAAAAATAGTAAATTTTATTAAAATATTACATTTTCAAATAATTAAGTCTTACGTCTTTACTCATCAAATAAGCTTTATTCCTCAGATATCTGATTATTCACAGAATTTCTTCCCTTCTTTTTTGGATATTGGTTGCTAAAACGGTGGGGATAATGAGGATGTGTGTGATTTATGTAGCGAAATTTCTCAGGTATAAGTGATTCCTATAGTATTGCACCACTAAAATAGCTTTATCTTCTACCAAGCAGTCTGTGTTGGCCAGCAACAATAGTTTTCTTATATAAATAACTGATGAGTTGTTTAAGAGTCATTCACTCTTCTATTTACTTCTAGTAAACTGCCTTTAATAAAATGATGCTCACGTCTATTCAAATCCTCTACCAAAGCTTTGGAAATTTAGGACATCTAGAGTTAGCCAGGCAGGAAATTATAAGACCAAAAAATATATTTTCTCTTCAAAATTGGGTATGAGTTCTGTCAGAAATGAGAAAACAGAAATATGTAAGTAAATACAGTATTATTTCTTTTAAGGAATGTATTATGAGAAAAGATGTTCTAAGTTATGCAGCTTTTCTGGCTATGAGAGAGAATTCTTTCATAGGAGTTGATTGGGGGGAAAAAAGGAAGGAGCCTATACTAGCAATTTTTTGGCTTGAATTATATGTAAAACCTATGCTGACTTTCAAAGTACAAATAAATTTCATACGACTATGGAAAATGCCACATAAAAATACATTTTTATTTTAAAACACGCAATTTCATGGCAAAACGGTTTACTTCAATTGCGTCCATCTGTATTTCGGTATATGTTTTCAGTGAGTTCTTTAACTTGTTAAAAACAGAACACAAATATATTCCAATACTTTTCTTCAAATATGATTCTATAGTAAACAAAGTTTTGTAATAATAATCATGCTTTTCAAATTCATAACGTTCTTCGTAGAAACGCATAACATAATACTTAAAGAACATTATCTGTCGAGTCCCAACAATAGATGAGGTTCTTTTACATCCTCTGAAAAGGCTTCAGAGTGTGCGTCAGATGACTCCCGAAATACAGTATTTCTCAGGACTGCTCCCCAGTGCTTTAATTCAGAGGTATTCCATGGAAGCCTTCCAACTCAATGGTCAGTAGCTAACAAGCGGTTCAAAACAGCTTTTATCCCCATGCCAGGAAATTAAAAAAATTTTTTTTAGATGTGGAAGGGATACAACTATGCACTTAAGATAACACCCCCTCCCATTTCTGGCTGCCTTCTCCCATGCTCCCCAGCGGAGTCATGTGGTTGTGCTGACGGCACACAGGAGGAGGATATTTTCCTAGCTGTTAAAAATTATAAGGAACCTTCCTCCAAACATTATAAATACCAACCTCTAAATATTAGAGAACTGAAAAAAATAAATGTTAGAGAACTGGAATCAATGAATCATATATTATCTTTGAATAAGTATATCTCATATGAAAGTCTGTATAATGAAATATGTCATTTGATAAACCATGAGTGAAAAATAATTTCTGAAAACCACCTATTTAGGTTGAAGTGGCATTTACCTTGGCATGCATTGTCCTAAGCAATGATCTGTTACAGAACGAATTACAAGAAAACGAAGGATTTAGGTATGCAGATGTCCTTCAACTTCTTCACTCACCAGATAAGGTAATATCTTTATAAAATGTTAGAGCTCGTGTGGAAAGGTTTTTAGACCCAATTATAAATGTTTCACAGCAATACTTAACTATATTACATAAGAAAGTAAAATCTCTTTGGTAGGTCATTAGTTTGTAATGATGAAATAATACTGTTCCATATTTTTCATAGTTGTCATATTTCTTCTTTGAAATGTAGCAATTTTATGCTCAAAGAGCAAATAAATCTTTTCCGCCCTGGATGTGTTGAAACTTTTCCCTAATTTTATGACCTTTCAACTTTCAATCATCCATTTCTTACCCAATATTCCAGAGTGGTAGCTTCTCAAACTATTTGCAGTGAAGGAAAGCTTTTCCCCAGCAATCTGTTATGGGCAGGATAATTCAAAACAAAGAAACAAAAAAACTACATCAAAAACTAATGATGTACTATATGTTGGCTAACTGACCATAATAATAAAAAATAACAAAAAAAAACACCAAAAACTTTAAATTTTGAGATAATTTTAGGTTTTCCAAAATTTTGCAAAAATAGTATGGAGTATTCTAGCATATCCTTTATCCAGCTTTCCTGGATATCAATAAGGAAATCAAGACTGATACCAAATAATTAACTCATCTGCAAATTTTATCTAGTTTTGCCAGTTTTCTCACTAATGTCCTTTTTCTCTTCCAAAATCCAATCCAGGATCTCCTATTACATCTAGCTGTTATGTCCCTTTAGTTTCCTTTAATCTGTGAAACACTGTCCTTTGTCTTTCATGATTTTTACATGTCTTCCATGATTTTGACATTTTTTGTGAGTTTACACCAGTTAGTTTGTAGAATGTCCCTCAATTTGAATTAGCTGATGTTTTCTCATGATTAAATTGAGGTGGTACATTTTGGCAAGAATACCACAGAAATGATGTGATCTTCTTCTTCTTCTTCTTTTTTTGTTAAGATTTTATTTATTTATTTGACAGAGAGAGAGAGAGAGAGAAAGAGAGATCACAAGTTGGGGGGTGGGGAAGCAGGCTCCCTGCTGAGCAGAGAGCCTGATGCGGGGCTCGATCCCAGGACCCTGAGATCATGACCTGAGCCGAAGGCAGAAGCTTAATCCCCTGAGCCACCCAGGCACCCCTAATGTGGTCTTCTTTACTCACCTGCCCAGTGCATTATTTTCGGGAGGTACATTCTACTGTTACGTCTTATAACAGGCAGTGCTAACTCTGGGTACTTGGTTAAAGTACTATCTGTCATATTTCTCCACTGTCAAGTCACTGTCTTGCCTCTTTTAATTAACAGGTTTCTTGAGGTGAGACACTTTGAGCCGATGCAAATAATTCTGTTTTGCATGCACTTTTTTTAGCATCCATGGATGCAACAATGATTACATGGTTTATTTGGCTAATGGCATTTTTTTAAAACATTCTTTTTTAAAAAAATCAAGTTTTATTTAAATTCCAGTTAGTTCATACAGTATAATATTAGTTTCAGGAGTACCATTTAATGATTCAACACTTATAAATGACACCTGGTGCTCATCACAAGTGCCTTCCTTGGTCCTGATCGCCCATTGACCCCATCCTCCTATCCCCTGCCCTCTGGCAACCACCAGTTTGTTCTCTCTAGTTGAAAGTCTGCTTCATGGTTTTCTTCTTTTCCCCCACTTCCCCTGTTTGTTTTGTTTCTTAAATTCCACATATGAGTGAAATAATATGGTATTTATCTTTCTCTGACTTACTTCACTTAGCATAATACACTCTAGCTCCAACCACGATTGCAAATGGCAAGATTTCATTTTTTATGGCCGAATAATAGTCCACTGTAAATATATACCATATCTTCTTCATCCATTCATCAGTTAATGGACATCTGAGCTCTTTCCATAATTTGGTGATTGTTGATAATGCTGCTATAAACATCTTTGTATATTTATTAATTAGTATTTAACTATAAGGAAGAGCTGTTCCTTTTATTTATTTTTTATTTAAGATTTTTATTTATTTATTTGTCAGAGAGAGAGCATGCACAAGCAGGGGGAGTGGCTGGCAGAGGGGGAAGCAGGCTCCCTGCTGAGCTAGGAGCCCAATGCTGGGCTTGATCCCAGGACCGTGGGGTCACGCATGACCTGAGCTGAAGGCAGAGGCTTAATGGACTGAGCCACCCAGGAGTCCCAAAGCTATTCCTTTTAGATGCTAATTCCCAGTTTCTGTAATCCTGTTGTCAACCATTTTGTGGGCTATCACTGGTCCATGGGCCACACTTTGAACAGCACCAACCCCAGAGAATTTTGAGAACTTTTGTTGTCTGCAGTGCATTTAGCAATCAGGGAAGAAAATTGCCAACTATCTCTGTCAGTTTGGTTCTGGGGGATTTGGGAGGAATAAAGGAGGGCTAAAAGAGGAGAAATGAACTCACTGCATTATTATTTTTTTAATGAAGAATTGTATTCTACTGTAGTATATGAAAAATGGCAATGGGCTGCTGGAATAATACGAGCAGTGTGCAAGGGGACTGAATTTGGATCTACCTAAGCCACCTTTCTTCTCTCTGTTCATTTCACATTTTATTCTCATCACCCTATTCCTCAGGGACACCCTTCTCCTTTTTCTTGACTAATTATTCTCCTCCGAATCATTCCCCTTTCCTTCCCAGCCTGCTCCCACCTGCTTCACTTACTGGACCCTATTTTGTGAATTCCTAAAAATACCCTTTTTCTTCCCTTATGGCCAGGTGGCTCCTTATGTGTACATAATTTTTTTATGGAACATTTCAAACATATGCAGAAGAGTAGCATAATGAACTTAAATATTTCTATGACCCAACTTCTGCAATTATCAATCCTGGCCAATCTTATTATACCTATATACCCACTTCATCTTCTCAAGTTGTTGTTATTATTTTTTAAAGGTTTATTTATGCGAGAGATAGAGAAAGCGTGCAGATGCACGAGCTGGGGGAGGGGCGGAGGGAGAGAATCCCAAGCCGACTCTGCTGAGCGTGGAACCACTGGGGGGCTGGATCTCACGGTATCGAGATCATGACCTAAGCCAAAAAAAAGAGTCAGATGCCCAACTGACTGAGAAACTCAGGAGCCCCTTGTCCTATATTACTTTTGAAGGAAATCTCAGGCATCATATAATTTTATTGGTAAATATTTTGGTACGTACATATAGCACTTTTACATAATGATTAACAGTGGCAGAAGAAAACTCACTTCATTAATGGCTCTTTCTATACTATACTGTTCAAACAAAATATTAAAAATAAGATTTAGTGATAAAATTCTTTTCGGGCTTTCTGGCAGATCTACTGTATTTGTTCATCTTTGTCAAGTAAATAAGAATTGGCTTTTGCTGTTTGCCAAATCCCAGAATGTTAAAATGTGATTTTTAAATCTTCTTTCTTTTTATTTCCCCTCAGGATACAGTACAGAATTTTACAAATGAACTTATTTTAAGAGATGACAGAGATCATCCCACAATGCATAAAATGTAATATATAGCATGCTAGAACAAGGGACGTTTTATCAAGTCTACTTTGAAATGTTGAAAATAAAAATATGTTAAAAAAGTTGAGGGTTAATGAAATTATGGAATTTCCTTACTACTTAGGTATTTATTTGCATAATCATTAACCCCTAACTTTCCCTCTGAAAATTAAAATTACTTCTCTTCTCTCTGATACCGCAACCTATTTCTCTATTTTATCTGTTCAATAACATTCTGGGTTAACTCAACTACCTATTTTCCCCAATAATGTCAAATTTTACTCCCAAAGATAAGAATGCAATATATTTAGATGGCCAAGAATTCAAAATTCATTACCTTGAGTAACATAATATGAACTGAGTTAAAGATAATGCATGTTTCTCCTATGTGCAGGATATCTGTTTAAGGGCAGGCTATGCATTATCCCTTTTTGCCTTCAACAATCGCCTTCAACAATACTTAATTTTGGAAAGTGGAATAATGACCATATCAATCTTTGAACCCTTTCTTGAATCTACAGTTGAAACTGAGAAGGCAATGGCAGCATTTCAGGTATAAAACTGGAAATTCAAACTTCAAATCAATAAATTAGTCTTTTTAGTCAAAACTTAAAAAATGAGAAAAAAATTTGATCTGGAAAACGTTTACCAATTTGTAAAATACACGGTATTTTTTACACCGGCCCCTTCTACCTCATAGAAACTCCATTATTTATGAGGATTCCTCATTTATCTACAGTGTTACAAGTTACAAGGCACTTTTTGCCTCTGTACCTTTTCTGATAGTTATAACAACCCTGTCAGGCTGGTGGGCAGATAGTATCATTTTCATCATCCCCTTATTACAGGCAGAGAATCACGGTAGTGTACCAGACAAGTTTTCTAACTGGAGACCTTTAGCTGATCACACGGATTCTTCAACCTATGACACCTGATGTATCTGGGTGCTTCTTTTTCTATCCAATGACCTTTAGGAGAACTATTTTCTATGAACCCATACTTCAAGGATGCAAAAGCTGCAAATATTGTAGGAAGAACACTCTGGCCTGCCATGTTCACCACAGTTGATCAGACAGTGAAAACTACTCTGACTCAAACCCTTGCCACTTGCTTTTCTTGTACTGGACCATTTCAAGTCACTCCCCTTACCTTCCTGAGAAGTACCAAAGAACAAAAAGCTTAATTAGAGGAGCAGAGTAGAAAACATTCGGTGATTTAATGCTTCTCTTTTGTTTTCAGATTATTATCTTAGCTAAAGTCATTATAGATGTGGACCATATTACTTTGTCTGCAAGAGGTGTTACTATTTTAGTTGATAGTCTGTATTCAGTTCATTCCACTACTATTATCTTGACAGGTAAGAAAGAACAGGAAGGTGGTGACATAAAACTACATCTGCATGAAACTGTTTTCAAAAAATTTTTTTTTGTAATCTGAACAATAATAGAATGACCTGGTGTATGTCTACATGCAACTCCACACAAAGTCTACATGGGACAGTGGGAGTCTACTCTGCACCCCAAGAGAAGCCAGGCAACTCTGACCGTGGCTTTTTTTATTTCCTAGTTACCTTTTCAATCCCCTAATTATTTTTTGGCAAATATAAAATGAGAATCCAACTCTGAGCTACTAACCAGAAAATTTACACACTGATTTATAATAGTAATGGCAGATTTATATGCTAGTCCTGTGTCTGGTTTTCTTTTGATCAACTTCACATTTTGCTAACATTCAAGAGTTCCTTATGTTGCTATGAGATATAGCAAAGCAAAATAGCCCAGCAGAGTTCTTGGCACATTTAATGCTAACCGTGTAACTTTATCTACTCTAGAGCTAATTTTCGAGATGAATAATCAGGTAATTGACTTGATATATCACTCTCAACACAACATGAAACCGTATCAGAATGACAACCACATGAAGTGACTACTACCAAAAAATAAATAAGGTCTTTGTTTTTTAACTGAAATGGATCACTGAAGGTAGGAAAGGAAGTTACACTTGCTGCTACACTTATATTTTTACTTGGCATGGAAGGAAAATTCATGCAAATGAAAACTTTCTGAAGGAAACTAGCTAGGAAAAAAACATGTTTAAATTATTAAATACATTCTTATTTAAATAGCATTCTTAATTCAAGTCATAGTAATTCTGTGACTCTGAAAAACAATCATTGTGGTTTTAAATTTTACTCCACAAACTCTTGTGTGCAAGAAATACTATGTTATACTATCCTTCAAATATTAATTTTCTTAGGCTGGTTGGAACTGAATCTCAAAAATTTCTGGGCTTTCTCTGCCCTCCAGCATCACAGTCACTTGCATCTCCAGAGTGACGTGCCTGTCCGGGGTATCCCAAGCAAAGCAGGATATTCAGGCCTCGGATATAATGTAAAATAAATGTTGTGCCAGATGTCTAAGTTGACAAGGTTCCCAGACATGGCTCCAGAGGCACAGAAGTTTCACAAAGACTAGATTTCTGTTGCCAAGGGTCCAGTTTTCCTGTGTCCGCCACAGAACCGTTCTCCACACGTAGCTCCTGCCCCTTGTGTGTTCTCCATCTTGGATCCTCTGCCTGCCTCCGCTGCCTCCGTTCCTTACTCCCCATCTTTAAAGAATCCTCTCTCCCTCTCTCCCTTTCACCTGGAAAAGTGCCTTCTATGTTCACAGGCTTTTAAAAATACACGCCTGGAAAAAAAAAAAAGGTTATTTTTAGACATTTTTTGCTTTAAACCACACAAGCCATCCCTCCCCATCCTGAAACAATAAATACAAAGGTCTTGGTTTATAAAGAATGCAAAAAAAAAAAAAAAAAAATACAAGAACAAAACCTAAGTGAATGCCTCCATAGAGCACCATCCACATTTGTATTTTAAAATCTGTGATGCACTTATTCCACCACAGCAACAATACTGTGAAAAAATATCACATGAAAGCTCTAAAAATAAAACACACATTTGAATGAAAGAGTTTTAAATTGGTAGTTGCATATTTATTTAATTACTGAATTACTTTATTATTTTCTATCTCCAAACATTTCTTTTTATGGCAAAAACATCAAAAATTTTAAACTTAAGTAATATATTGTTTGGGTTCAAAATACCATTAAGCTCTTAACTCAAAGTGATCTGAATTGCAAAAAGGACAAACTGAATTATTTTTTTTATGGTAGTTCAAACATCATGTTCACGGTCATTAAAAAAACACAAAAGCTCAAAACAGAATATATTCTGAAGCCACAGGAAAGAAAAACTCCGATTTTCAAAACTCCCTACTTTTAAATAAAGCTAATTAACTTTTACTGTTTGTGACAGAAAACCAAATCATAATTTTGGGGAAAGAACTCCACATTTAATATATACATGCTTTTCTCAGTCCTTCTTCATTAGAGATGTCTTGTGACTCAACCCTTTTAATAATATGTGCAAATGAACAAAAGTACAGTATATGAGTTTATATCAATTAAATAACACAAACATTTTTTTCTTGTTTAATTTTTAGGGAATTTAATAGCTAGCCTGGCTCATTCTAGAGCTGCTATTCTAGAAGCATTTACCACATTAGGGACAATCCAACAGCTCTGCTATCATTTGTATTCTGGAAAAGAAGAGGTAAAAACAAAACCAATTGTGTAACTGAATATTCTAAAAATGTAATTGCTCTCACATTTGTGTGCTACTTTCTCTACAGGCTGACTATGTTATATAATAGTTCATGTTACTTACTCAAAATTATATTTTTCTAGTACCACATCTGCCATCCATAATTCTGATTCCTACAAAATGTGCATATTTGTTTTAACTTCAGTACTTAAGACTCAATATACAAATAAGTACACTGATGATATAGAAGTTTGTAATTAAAATATTTATAAAATATCTCACAAAACTGGTGACTGACTTTATTAACTTAGTAACTAAGCAGTTTTTGTGATCTAAGTCATTTCTATGATTATTTGGAATGCGTGAAAGTGGGATCCACTGGACAGTTTTCTTTATCTGCCAAGCAGGATCAGAGGTGACAGTATAAAGAAGGCCAGAGTCATGGTCTGTCTCTGAGATTCCCCTGCCCTCTCCCCCAGGTGTGAGGCAGTGTTTCTCCAACTTTAGGGTACGCAGGAATCACTGGGATCTATTGTTACACCATAGATTCCTGGGCTCCATTCCCAGCATTTCTTACTGAATACATCCGGTTTAGGCCCTAAAATGGGCGTTTCTAACCAGCTCCTAGAAGCTGGTTAGAAATGGTATTGGGACCATACACTGAGAGCCACAGTTCAAGGTATGGAAGATATATGGGCATATGCAGCAGTCACATGCCAGTGTAGAAACTAGAATATCAACTCTGGCTTATGTTCATTCTATGACATTTCTTAGGCCACCACTAACAGATTTTCTAAGAACTTACCAGGAATATACTTTAATCTTATGAACAACCTGATTACTTCCGGATCACAGGCAGAGGATATTTTTTTCTGCAGTCTTGTGACTGATAGTTTTTGCCAGTGGAAAAATGAATTGCTTTCTTGAGTGTGTTTTTTTGTTGTTGTTGTTGTTGTTTTTACCTTATTTTTATCCTCTAGTCTCTTGCCTGGTTTCCTATTACAAGCTACTGAGCAGTTTTGAAAAATTCCAGTATCCAGGCTGCAGCCAAAATAATTAAGAGTTTCTAGGGGTGGAACCCAGGCACTGAGTAATTTTAGTAACTATCAAGGGGATTCCAATGCACAATCAAGACTGAGACCCTTAGTTCCAACTCAATGGTTCTTACTCTGCTGCATATTGGAGTTGCCTCTGGCACTTTTAAAGACAATGTGAATGCCCAGATTCTAACCAAAAGACAGTTGGTGGGCTTTTTTTTTTTTTTTCTTTTTTAACTGCTGGTGATTCTAAAACTGCAGTCAGGACTGAGAACAAGTACTAGAAACCAATGGCAGTTGACAGCTTTCTCTAAAAATATGGCTGTTCGGCTTCCATCTATACATTGCCGTGGGTGGACATCCATGTTTGCTGGGCATAGCTACAGAGGCTAATGAACTGTTTAGTGAGAACAGTTTGTTAGATATTTTAAGAATAAAGCTCAATGAAGGGATTGAATTGCTTCTTCATTTAGGTTCGCACAGCTTGCTCCTGTGCTCTCGGCTACTTAACTTACAATGCGAATGCTTTCCGCATCCTACTAAAGGAATGCAGAAATAAGCCTAACCAGTTCCTCCGTATAACAAATAATATCAACAGAGATGCAAGTATCAACCCAGCTTTTTTAAAGGAATTTCAAATGCAGCAACGAGTGGGACTTCCTTCCTTAAGGTACTGTGCCTGTATCTGTGAAGTTGCAGTAGTGAGATTATTGATAGAAGAACTTGTAAGAAAGCTTAAGGGAGATCAAACAAGGGGAGCCATTCCTGGCGTGAATGAATACCAAGAGAGAAAACTCACCCTAAATGTCCACTACCAAAGCCCGTTTTAATTCTGATTTAGCAACAAAACTACCTGTGGAGGCAACCTTGGGGATCCCATTTGGCCAAGTTATTCATGTTTCAGAAAAACTTTCTGGGGTTTCTGGGGTCGCTTCCAAGTCTGATCTGGAAAACCACTTCTGGGATATTACTTGAGAGTCCTGAGCCAACCAGGAATACCACCATGACTTTGGCATCATCAAAAAAGGTTTAAAAGACCTTTGAATTTCATTCAAAGCTAGGCCAGACTCCCAGGGTAGAAACAGGGCTAAATCAGATGCAGTGCCTGCAGTTATGGTGAAGGCTGATGGGCATTAATTTATCCACAGGATTTTGCTTCAGTGCTGGAGTTTCATCAGAGCTTAAGTTTCTGCAAACAGAGAGGAGAATCTGCTTAGAATGGGCATATTTTCTTTAATCGATGTAGCTGAATTACAAGTTTTCTCTGCAATTGCACTATTTGTGTAGGAAACAGAACTACTCAAGATACAGTATTAACTCTACGATAATAGTAGAGAATAGGATCCAATATTGTATCGTGGTTCCGTAAATCAATTTTCAGTATGGAGAAAAATGAGTACATCTTCATTTTAATTCTTGGAAAACCCAAAGATGCAAAACTGATTACCTAATTTTATATAATAAGACAGGGAAATCTAAATTCCTATAACTGACGGTGTTAAAAAATATTTATTGGTTCAAAAATTAATTTAGGATAAATAACGGTAAGTATTATTTTACACAATTACTCCCACAACTAGCCCATGTGGCAACTTTTCAGGAATTAGAGAGATGATACCCCTTCGTCAGGATGCATTACTGTCCTCTGCTGGAGAACAGGTGTACTAACTATACAAAGCTACAGTGGCCGGGGTGAATGGCAGCCCCTGGAATTGTGAACACTCAACTTTTAGGACTGAAAGCAGTGACCAGTGCTCACTACATTTATAAGAATGGTTACCAGGTGAGGTGGAACTGTCAAGTAAATAATAATTACTCCCACAACTAGTAGTATTATGAACCCATAGAGTATTTACATGGACTATTCCCTTTAATTTTCATAACCATTCATCGATTAAATGAAACTATGGGAAATGTGCTAAAATATTACTGAGACATGTTTGGAAACTTTGGCATGGATACCAATACCCTTCCGTGAAATATTCCTTGATACCGCTACTGGCAAGTATGCGGATTGTGGCTGGGGTCATGATAGCATGTTCTCGCCGTATATACCATTTCTTTACTCCCATGCCCCTATCCAGCTCCCAGAACAGCGGATTAGAAGAGTCCCTGGATACGCAAATTTTGAAGTATGGAGAGAGACATAATTTTCCTGGTGTTAACTGACCCTGTATGAAAGCATTCAGCCTAAATGCCAGCTAGTTTCATGCTACCCTTTGGCCACAAAGGTGGCATATGGACAGACTGAAATCTATGCCTCACTAAGGTGGCCAACAGCAAATGTTCCTCATCAAATTAACCAGCTATATATTTGAGATAACCACCTTTAATATATTAACTTCAAGCGAGACTTAAATTTATTAGCAGGGAAATTCTGTAACTATATTATGTTACGTGTACAGGATGATGATTTAAAATAATACTGCCTTTAAAAGCCACCCACCCACCCCCAAGACACACACCATATTAACTAGGTACACCTTGTTATTCTTTGGCTTGAAACATTGGTAAACCATTGCTTTGAAAATTTTTGTGATCAACGTGTTTTTCCTTTTAGTCTAGAGAAAAATGGAGGACCATCCATAATTCCTGTCTTTAAAAAAGGTAATTGATTTTTCTTTGGTCTCTGAGGTAATGTCTAGCCCTGACACCTTACAGTTCTGTGTTTCATTTCTAAAAATTCAAAATGTGGAGGTTACCCCCCCCAAAATTTACCTGTAAACTCTGCTTTTGCCGTTCTGTATACTTAAAATAACTTCCTACTTAAAAGACTATGTTAATCATTTCTTTTAAGGCCTTCCCTACCATATCACTTGTCAGAAATCCCTCTTACTTTGTTTTTTCTTATAAGCCATGCACAGAAATAGGTCATTACTGAAACATGTAAGTGTGGCTTAAATTACGATCTTGCTATTCTGTTGTTCCATGTACAACTTGTCTGTAAGTTCTTAAGGTAGACACCACATTTTTTCCACAGATACACTACTGTTTTATACGTATTTGGTAGATGTTGGCTGAGTGATTTTAGGCCTGCAAGATCAGAGTCCAGATCGTATAAGGTTACCCATCAATTCCTATCAGACATGTAATAGGGAAAATAAATTATTTTTTAACTTAATTTATATGCTTAGTGCTTATTCACGTGTGTTTAGTGTAGGACCAGTATCAGTCTTACTCGGTACATTACCCTATCGCCAAAACCAAGGATAGAACCATTCCAAAGCCAGGATCTTAACACTATTAAGAGTTTTAAGAGTCACATATGGAAAGGGAGTGAAAAAAGGGAGAGAAGTTCACTCATTCAGGGAGTCTCTGAGGAAAGCTAGGTTTGTGCGGGAGGCTATATATATGAATGTTATGAGTAGAAGAATATTTTTTGTATAGCTTCTTTCGTGTCAGAGTTAATTTATCTATTTTTAAACAAGATTTTATTTATTTGTTTGACAGAGAGAGAGAGAGAGACAGACCCCAAGTAGGCAGAGAGGCAGGCAGAGAGGGCGGGGGGCGGGGGGGGAAGCAGGCTCCCTGCTGAGCAGAGAGCCTGACGCAGGGCTCGATCCCAGGACCCTGGGATCATGACCTGAGCTGAAAGCAGAGGCTTAACCCACTGAGCCACCCAGGCACCCTGTCAGAGTTAATTTACACAAAGAAATAAAGTCAGTCCCATTTTTTTCTTTAATACTGTTTTCTTGTTTTGTTTTTTAATATTGGTTTCTAAATAGCAATCTGTGTACCACTAATGGTATAATAATGTTTTCATAGGTTTATGGTAATATAAGAAAAAATAAGGACAATATAGCAAGTTTCTGAAAAAGTTTCATTCAATATAAAATGTGTCATTTTGAGATAGTACCTTTTACACTTTCTTTTGGGTATTAAGATATCCCTACTTTTACAAATGACTTTGGCATTTGTTCTTTTATTAGTCTCAACTTGGCATAATAAAAAGCTGACAACCGTATTATTAGCCCCACAAATTTTTGCTCTCTGACATCTGAAAGTCTGGAAGTTATGGATCCATTCTCTTAGTATGTTTTAGTGATTTGAAGAAAATACAACTATACAGAACCAAAGGAAATGAGACTATATCTAGGGCTCTTGGGCTTAAGAAAGACATTTAATTGTGGCTCTCTAATTTCCAGGGAAAGAGCATCGAAGAAAATTAAAACCTAAAATTCAACCAAGAGATTCTTTGACTTTCATACCTCCTGTAACCAACTTCATGGGACTCTTCAGAGCAACAAAAAAGGCCCCTGTTTCTCACAATATTTTTTCCTTTTCATCTGCAATTTCATCAGATATCACAGAAGTATCAAGACCAAGAATAGTGTTTTTGAGCCAACTCGGGAAACATGTACAGAAAGCTAACCCAGAGCCTACGGAAGGCTAATAAAACCATTAATATGAAAGTATGAAAGAATTCCTGAGCGATCTTTTCAAATTCTTCACTTTTCTTAAAAGATTTTATTTTTAAGGAATCTCTACAATGTGGGGCTCAAAGTCACAAACCTAAGATCAAGAGTCACATGCTCTACTGACTGAGCCAGCCAGGTGCCCCCCCATTTTTTACTTTTAATTTTAATCTAATTCTAGTAAAATATATAAAACTGAGTATTAACATTTTGAATGGAAGTTCTTGATATTGATACTTAACAGATTTTCTCTAGCCTGTTTACCAAAGTTTAACATCAGGTCAGACTCATAGTTTTAAAAATAAATAGAATTTATTAAATAGAATTAAAATTTTATTAAATATTTTATTAAATAGAATTAAATAGAATTAAATAGAATTTTCCTGCACTTAACACTATTAAAATACAGCAACTGACACAAGTGGCATAATTAGTATCTCTATATCAAGTGTCAGAAACATTTTTAAATCGGTATGCTGGGCTAAAGAGGCCTGATTCAAAACAGTCCACATGTTAACACGCACTGCAGCACCTTGAGATAGTTAATGATGAATACTACAAAGGCACAAGGCTTTTAAAACCCCAAATGTAGAAATGTATACTTTTATAAGACTTAAAAAAAAAAAATCTGAAATCACTGCCCACCAAGTACAAAAGTCTGGCTAAACACTGTGGCTACCAGTGTTGACCATTCCCCACACTTACAAGTATTTTTGGTTTACAACTAGAAAGTGTGACACTCTGTGGCTCAGAATCACATGATGTCTTTGCCCAATGAGCACTGTCTCCAGGGGGTCCAAGTTCTGCTGTAGGTCTGCTTCTATTTTACTGCAGCAGGTAGATTTGATATAAAATCAAGCTGGGCTTCACGGTAGCCTTTAAAGCCCTCATTTTTCTCTGACCACTTTGCTCCAGGCTGCACTGAACTATTATTATATTATTATTATAATACTGAAGTATTATCAGCCGTTATTTTCTCCCACATGTCTTAACACAATAACGATGGAGGTGATGGCAGCTACAGGCATGCAGGCTTTCCATGCACCAGAGTCTAAAGCCAAGGCTTTTGGCCATTGGACAGTAGGAGACCTCTCTAATCTTCAAATTTAATTCTACTTCTGGAAGATGCTCTAATATAGGAATTATGGGGGGGAAAGGCTTATTCCATACTACAAAGGGAAAAATAATTCAAGTGATAAGAAAGGAGTCATTTATTCAGCACGGTTAAGGATAAGAGTTCATATTAGTGAAATATTAAGCTTCTGTAGATGTAAAACAAAACAAAACCCTCTAGACAACAAACTTTGAGCTTTGGAACTGGCTTCTGACGGACTGAAGACTATATTCTAAGAACACCTTCAGGGCTGAGTATCAGGGATTCTTTGTATTCAATAATATAAGACACTCCTGAGTTTCTTGGCCTCCCAAGGCCATCCTACTACTCCCAAAACTTACAGTACTTTTCCTGAAGTACAGGTCCTCCAGTTAAGATTACTTTCATTACCCTGCATTTTTTTCTTTTTTTCGTTTTTTTAAGATTTTATTTATTTGACAGAGAGAGACACAGCAAGAGAGGCAACACAAGTAGGAGGAGTGGGAGAGGGAGAAGCAGGCTCCTCACCAAGCAGGGAGCCCAAGGTGGGGCTCCATCCCAGTCCGCCGTGATCATGACCTGAGCTGAAGGCAGACGCGTAACGACTGAGCCACCCAGGCATCCCCGTTTTTGAAAAATTATGTATGAGTGGGGCGCCTGGATGGCTCAGTCAGTCAGGTGGCTGCCTTTGGCTCAGGTCATGATGCCAGGATCCTGGGATCGAGCCCTGCCTTGGGCTCCTGGCTCGGCGGAGAGCCTGCTTCCTCCTCTTCCTCTGCCTGCTTCTCTGCCTATTTGTGTTCTCCCTCTCTCCGTCAAATGAATAATAAAAACAAATCTTTAAAAAATTAATAAATAAAATACGAGATACGCCTCAAGATACAGAGGATTTCAGCAAATCGTCTGCCTTTTACCTGTACTATTAGCTAACTTGTACATATGCTTGCCCATATAGAGTTCAGTGCTTCTCCTTTCCTTATCCTTTCCCTCTTTCTCTCTCCTTTCCCCACCCTCCTTCCTTACTGCCAAGTACAAAAGGCCTACAGATATGGAACGCGTCCCCAAATTGCTCATTTTCTTTATCTGTAGTTTCTCTTATTTATAGCATGAACTCAATTTTGACATGTGTGCTTGTAACACCTGTAGCAATTTCGATACTTAAAAATTTTAGGAACATAGATCACAGATACCCCATTTTAAAATATTTGTGATGGGGGAAGAATTTTTGGTCAATTTCCTTCCATAGTTTGAATGCACTCTGACTGTGAGACGCACAGGAAATACTTATCTTACTTCTCTATGGATTTAGGTTCACATGATACAGAACACAAATTCAAATGAAAAGTGTGAATTCATAAACTAAGTTTCTTCTAAATAATATATATATATATTTTTAAAGATTTTATTTATTTATTTGACAGAGATCACAAGTAGGCAGAGAGGCAGGCAGAGAGAGAGGAAGGGAAGCAGGCTCCCTGCTGAGCAGAGAGCCCGATGTGGGGCTCGATCCCAGGACCCTGGGATCATGACCTGAGCCAAAGGCAGAGGCTTTAACCCACGGAGCCACCCAGGTGCCCTCTTCTAAATAATATTAAAAAACCAATTCTATCATAGCTATACCTCAACAGCAAAGAATACAGTTTTTTTTTTAAATAAATATTGGCTGTTTCTATATGTTCCCTCACATAAATTATATTTTCTATCTCCAAGTGGGTGATCATAAAGCAATACCCTATGATGACAATTCTTAAAAAAAAAAAAAGAATTACTTATGGAATTTCCAAAATCGAGGTCACCTTAAGTTAGGATTAAAATAAGAAATCTTTTCATAGTTTAGATTTTTATCCTTACCCCCTATTTTCTGAAGAAAGCAAGTCATTGACTAGAAAATTAACAACCTGGTCCAGTATGATGATGTAATACAACTCTTTACTGATAAAATCTCTCGAAGGACATTAAAGTCAATAGCATTGTCTTTATATTCAAGGACAGTACATTCAGTTACTTTAGATAGAAAAAAAGGATAAGCAGGTATAAAGTTTCAGATTCAAAGAAAATTATCCAAAAACACAAGCAAAAACCTTTACATCTCATATATTTTCATTGATTAAATACAATTTCTAAAATAGTGGATGTAAACATACGTGGTCAACTAAAAGCACAATACACACTTGAAGGATTACTTGCCTACCATATTTCTTAAAATCTCAGATGGATTTTAAGAAACATATAGACATCCCAATTGCTCCAGGGAAGATACCTAATAACATATATTTTTATCATTAGTAACATCCATTCTGCTAAAGTCACCTTTTTTCTTTATTCAGAATTCTCTGATTTGACATGACTTTGACCAGGCTACTTTTCTAAAATTGCTCTCATTAGAAAAGTTAGGCGAATGTTTCAAAAGGAGCTAAAAAATAGCTTCTACTGATAGCCACCAGTTTCTCAGGGCAGAGGTGTGGGGGGATGTAAGGGAAATAAGTGAAGGGGATTAAGAAGTACAAACTTCCAGTTATAAAATAAATTGCGGGATGAAAACTACAGCACAGGGAATATAGTCAATAACATTATAATAACTTTGTACGGTACAGATGGTGAAATGATACTGTGCTGTTGTAATACATATAAAAACACCAAAAGGTCTAGGCCTTTTTAATATGGGGCTAGGATTTAGCAGATTCACTGTATATCTTCCAAGGTTTTCTTTCTACCTGCAACTATCAGTACATTCTTTTCTTCACAAGATGTTTTACTTTAATTTTGATAATAAAAAATCTATATTCCATTATAAAGCTATAACATATTACTATAGACTCTCAGAAGAGCGGGTTAAATATCAAACATGAAGAAAAACAAAAGAAAGTCTTGAAGAACAATTAATATCATGCATCTTCCACAATTTGAAATACAAAAAAAATCACAACTTAATGCTGAAATACTACCTTTAGGGATTTTTTTTGAAAAGCAAAAATCAAATGTCCATTTTTAACCGTGGTACTTTTATGGCAGCTTCTCCAACTTCTTCTGATATGTCTACTCCAAGAGGACATCTGCATCACAATCAGATAAATCACATTATTTCAAATACTTGCTTCCTGATCTGTCACTAGTTCTGCAAACTGTTTGCTTAGAATTCTGACAAACAGTGCGCAGCTACTGTATAATCATATGTGATGACAGATCTTGAAAACAAATACAGCAGGAACAATGGGTGAAGAGAAGGCCAGTTAATGCCATTAAGAGATCTAAATTTTGGGATTTTTTTTTAATGACTCTGAGGTATAATTGATATTGAAAAGCTATGCATCTTTAATGTATACAACTCAATGAATTTGAGGACTGAAGTTTTTGAAAGAAGTAGTTCTGCTCTCATACTATAAATAAAAAAGTGAAATAGAAAAACGATAAAAATGCCTTATAATTCTCTACAAAGCTGAAAGGATAAAAACAGTTTACCATACACCTAAGGTCAAATTTGCATCCATTTCTACTTTAGAAATTCCCGAGGTTTTTACTGATTCTTGAGGTTTCAAAAGCTGGCTTGTCCCTTTTCTACCTTCCTCTGTCACTACTGGCAGGAGAGGTCCGAGATTCTACTCTTTTTGTTCTTCCTCCTTAAGTAACTGTGGACTCCGATGTTTGCTTTTTTACAACATTGCCCAATACAAGGCTTCAACTGGATCCTAGTCTGGAAAAAGCCACCATCTTCAGCCTCAGCACTGTCACAAGAAGGCAACACTGGAGCAGACAATATGTTCTGCCTGAGGCTAGGCCATCAGTATAGGAGATGCCTTCGGCCACCACTAACTAAACTCTGTTTTTAGGCTTTGGATTTTACACTGCTTGCATAGATTTTATAAAAGGTACCACGTACTTGGGTTCATAGCGGATGCCTTCTGTGTTGTGTAAAACGCCCACACCAGCACGCAATCTTTCAATACCGTTCCTAAGTAAGAGTGATGCAAATAAAATAAACAGACCAAGATTCAAAGGAAAAAGATGTAGCATGATGAAATGGCAAACTGTGAGTGAAGCACATACATCTTGTGGCTTACCATGCAATCATAATGCCGTTGTCAGTGCACAGGCTGGGAGGAGGACACAGCAAAGTGCACTCTGTTGCATTTGTTACAATTTCCAGAGCTTTTCGGATGTATAAGTTACTTGCGACACCTCCAGATACAACCTGAAGGAAATGAAAAGACCAAAATTAACAATTACGTGTGGGTATGAGCCAAAATGTTAGCTTAACCTGGGGAAAATACTAGCAATATACAGTAAGAAAACATCACATTTTGAGAGGTGGGAAATGGGCAAGTGATCAATCTGTATGGTAAAAATTTGGAGGAAAAGAAAATCATTTTCAGTATCAGTATACAATGACCACTAGATTTTTTTTAGATTTATTTATTTATTTTCGGAGGTGAAGAGAGACAAAAAGGGAGGGAGAATGAAACTTAAGCGGACTCCATGCTGAGCACAGAGCCTGTCCCAGGGCTGGATCTCAGAATCCTGAACTGAGATCATGACCTGAGCTGAAACCAAGAGTCAGACACCTAACCCACTGTACCATCAGAAGCCCTGGACCACTATCATTTTTGTACATTTTCTTCTAACTTTTTTCTAATTATAATCAAAGCTCAACAGTGTTTTAGACCCTGCCATTTTTACTTATAAGCATTTTTCTCATTTTACATTATTCTTCAAAAGCTATTATTACCTTTGATATTCACATAATATTCTATTTTGTGAATCTACCATCATTTAAATACTTTCTCATTTTGTAATTTTCAAAAGGATGAAGTTTAAGATACAGTTAAACAGAAGTTTACCAAGGCTTTTACACAGATCTAAAGGGATTTCATCAAAGGAACATAAATTTGCAGGGAACTAGCTTATTTTTCTAAAAATAATGATAGCAGTTCCTGCATCTCATTTCTTATTGTAAACCCACTTTTAAATTCAATGAGAAGATGCAGTCTTGGAGTTTTTTGGCACACAGGCTGTGCAGGTGTCCCATGAAGCTGTCACACCTGTGTAAGAAATGGCTGTTAGTCTTTATTCTGCACAATTCCATACTTCCGGGCTATGACATAAACACATTTGATGCTATGCACAGGATCAATTAAGCTCCTAGAAGAAAAGTAACATACTGTAAAGTATTAATAATACTGTTAGAGGAGGTGACAGAACTTACCAGTACTGCATTACTTGGAGATAATAAGCGTCTCTGCTTGCAGAACAGAATGGCACGGTGAGTTCTCTTTGCAATGTGGCATGCTGTCGTGTGCTGTACTGCAGCGGCAATGTGTGCAGCTGAAGCCAGGATTTCCCCCTTCTGGATCCCTGCAGAAATGAGCAGGTGTTTTTAGGTACAATGCAGGATTACTTATTTTTCCAACTCTCCAAGTAGAAATGTACCTTCCTCTTTTTCCTTTTGTGTTATTATCCTATCAACAACATGCTGAAGTCCAGAAAAAGAAAAATCACAATTTTTAGCTCGTTGCATGGGAGGTTTGATATCAAAATGCAGTTTATTTCCTTGTTTGGCCAAATGCTCTATAGCCTTCCCACCGCTCATGGTGGAGCACTCTGGATGTTTTATCAAAGACAGTCTTCTTGCTACCTATCGAAAACAAAAATTTCTGTAATGAGTGATAAAATTGCACATTTTAAAACCAAGGTGCAAAGGAAATGAATTTACTTAAACACACACACACACACACACACACAAAACCCAACCAAAACCCAAAACAGAACAAGAAGCCTGGATAAGTAAGATATGCTCTGCTTTTATATAAATGCACAGTAGCGGGTAGTCAGTAAGGATAGACTCGCTCCTTCTCACAGCCCGCCCAGCAGTGGGCAATCACCGCTTCCCTATCTACTTCTGCTCTTCTACTGGAGATGAAAAGCAAGTCTGAAATTCACAATGAGTGCTTAATGATTAGCTTCAAAAATGAGAACCTGTCCATTTCTTCTAATCATTGCAGCTGTGGGCACTAAGATTTCTGCAGAGAGCAGTAGGCTCAGGATTCCTACACAAAGGAAAAAGAAACCTGCTTGGTGATGGTGTCAGCAATTGTGATGTTTAATCACAAAACTTTGTACATCTTTAATGTCTTTATATTATTTTATATACCCTATTTCACATTTTTATAGTTCTTACATGGCAATTTCTTTCAGATATTTTTTTTATTAAAAACACAACTGCATCTGCAAACTATTTGAGCCTTTATGTACTGATCTAAACCTCTTACCATTTCACTCATAATGGCTAGAAATCTTTTCTAAAACTATGTACTATTCTTTTTCTTTTTTTTCTTACTGCTCATATGAATTCAGAAATTCATATGAATTCATCAGAAATATTTAGATAAATGGTAGTAGTGTATTATTATTTGACTGAAATAGACAACTTAACAGAAAAGAATGGAGAAATTAACTCTTAAATAATTACCTTGTCAAGCATGTCCCCTGGTGCTATGTCCAAAGACTTCCCCAGAAGCAGAAAATCTGAAACTCCTCTGACTAATGCCAATAGACAATGACCTCCAGAAATCAAAAGAACTAAGAAGGGAAAGTCTACTTTATTTAACAACCGAATAGTCAGTGCATGAGCCTCCATGTGATGAATGGGAATGAAAGGTTTTTTTAACTGGTCTACTAGGTGTAAGCTAAATGATAAGCCTACTCCCAAGCTTAGAGCAAGTCCTGGTTTTATAGTAGTTGCGACTGCTGAGAGTTCACTTGGACAGACTTTACTGGAAGAGAGAGCTTCTTGCACTATCCGCTGAATATTTTCTCTGTGAAGCTGCTGAGCTACTGAAGGAACAATCCCACCTGTTCTGGAAGAAACAAAAATACAGCCTCTTATAATTTCAAGATTGTGAACACAGAGTAAGAAAAGTTTTATATTAGGGCTGAAGGCACGTTTTCAAATTAATTATTTTACAGCTAAATATGTTAGTCAAGTATATTCAAATATGCATGCCTTATAATGCAGCACACTATAAAAACTCAGTATATAGTGATTAAGGGTGTAATGTCTGACTTTTCAAAATTGTACACAACGAATTCCTATGGATTTGATGATGAATGGAACCACCAAAACAATCTTAAGAAGCATTCTATGGAAGATGTCTTGAACAAGGAAAGGACAGGATAAAATTGGATTTTAGAAAAATTAATCTCTCTGGAGATAGAATTTTTATTTTTAAAACATTTTATTTATTTGTCAGACAGAGAGAGAGCACAAGCAGTGGGGTGGCAGGCAAAGGGAGACGCAGGCTCCATGCTGAGCAAGGAGTGTGATGTGGGACTCATCCCAGAACCCTGGGATCATGATCTGAGCTAAAGGCAGAAGCTTAACTGACTGAGCCACCCAAGTGTCCCTACATGGAGAATTTTTAAAGAGGTCATTATAAAAGTATTTGTTTACATCTTAAACTACATGATCACGGGAAGTGAAAGAAAGGGACAGAGAGCCTGAAAACTGTTATGACCGACTGGATGTAAGGGGAAGAGGGTCCACGGCACATGATTCACATATCGAGCTGGAGTGACTAGGAGAAAAGAAAGAGTAACAGAGAGAAACTTGAAGACAGTTTTGTGAAGATGAGTTTATTTTTAAACACACTGCACTTGAGGTCATGGCAGGACAGTGGACAGCTTGCAATCCCGAAATACAGTTGGGAATCTAGTGCTCAGAGTTGGTAATTTTGATTTTGGGTTTATGTAGGACCCACTCCAAATGTCAAGAGTAAAGAAGTAGGAGGCAAAGCTGCTAACAAAAAAATTGCCAGCATGTGACTAACTTACACCAGAGAAGCAGAGCAATAAAATATAGGGTCTGCAAGATATACCTCTAATCTCAAAAAGATCTTTAAATATTTAACACTGTAACTTCTATACACAGATATGAAAACCCTCAATAGGTGCATTCAATTAATATTTATTTAATAGTTATAATATGCAGGGCGCCTGGGTGGCTCAGCCAGTTAGGTATCTGCCTTCAGCTCAGGTCTTGATCCCAGGGTCCTGGGATGGAGCCCCAAAGCAGGCTCCTGCTCAGTGGGGAGTCTGCTTCTCACTCTCCCTTTGCCCCTCCCCCTGCCCATGCTGTGTCTCTCTAGCTCTGTTCTCTTTCTCTCTCTCAAATAAATAAATAAAATATTTAAAAAATTGTTATAATATATATTGTATCAGGCAATGAGGGGAATAAAAGAAACAGTCTTATTTCAACACACATATATATAGTAATACCATTTTTCTTAATTCTTCAAAGCTACTTTTTCTCTCATATTCTTCAACTCTGTTAATGGCATTAAACCTTCTAATGACTTGGGTTTCCAGCTTCATCTTTATCTCCTTTATCTCACTTCCCACAATTAAGTATGTCACCATTCCCACTGCCACCAGTTCGAAAAGCTCCTATTATCTCAGTCTATTCAAAACCCTCTAAATGCAATTCCCTGGAGGGATTTTCTGATCACCCTGGAGTCCATTCTATGTTGTGTTGCCGGAAAGTAAAGCAAAATGCTGACCCCTAACTATCCTACTCAAAAACATTTACTTTCTTGAAATTTGGGTAACCTTAAGTCTAAAACCTCTTCTACTTATTTCTTCCTTCTCCCACATGCCTACCTCCCTTCCTTTTTGTATCTCTTTTACGTATTTTATCTTCAAAGGATTATGCTAGCTAAGCATTAGAGACAAAAGAGTAAGACCGTGGCTTTATTCTCAAAAAAGTTAATTTGTACATAGCATAAAGAGTAGGTGTTCAAGGGGCTAAGGCTAATAGAAAGTCAGGGAAACCATCTGGCCTCAAGGTAGAAGCCAAGAGTTCAGGCAAGAGACAAGGGCTTGAATTACATGGAAAGGGAGGGAAACGTTTGAAGAAATATTTGGGAGGCAGATTTACTACAACTGATTTGACACAGTGGTGAGAAAAAAGTCAAGACTGTCCTTCAGATTTCTGGCTTGAAGAAAGGACCCCCTCTCCCCCCAAGTTCTCCTCTATCAATGCATTTTCCATGCTGCTTTACAAGGACTTGCTTATCCGACTGTCTTCTTCACTCATCTGTAACAGCACTAGAGGTAGGACTGATGCTAATAATAGGTAGCTTCTACTGAGCTCGTGCTATTTGTCAAGAACTGCACCACACACCTTAGAAGAGTTTACATTTAATCCTCACAACAGTATTAGGGGCTAGTTACCATTACTATCCCTATTTCACACACAAGGAAACTGAGGCACAGAAAACCATATAAGATCGTTGATAGTTGCACCAGAATGTAAACCTACACTCTAAAGCACTTTATATGGCAAGCTGCTCAGAGGCAAGATCATGTATCTTAGTCGTATTTGTACCACGGTGCTTCAAATGTTGCCTGGTAGGAATTCAGTAAGCACTGAGATGAGCTGTCTAGATGGTTCCACAAAGTTTACTTCCTGTGTATTCATCTCCAGTAACCTGGGCACTAGCTAAACTGAACGTCTGTCCTGTACTTTCTCACCTCTTTGCCTCTACCATAATGTTTACTCCTGCTACAATGTTTTTTTCCATCTCCATTCACTGACGGCCTATTTCCAAGGTCACTAGCCCCTGCAGTGTACCAGATGCCGTGCTGGCTATCTGGCACCGTGCAGTGAGTAATACAGACAGTTAAGACGGAGCCTGTGCCCATGGAGTTCAGAGTCTGCTGGGGAAAAGACTACACAGAAGTAAACAAACATAAAAATTATCAAAAGGATGATGAAGAAAATAAGCAGGGTGTTGTGATGCAGAATAAGCATGGTGGGGATACCGAATTTAGACGAAGTGGTCAGGGAAGGCCTTTCTACACAGTCAACATTTACATGTGCAAACGTCCAGGACACTCAGAAATACGGAGTGGGACTGAGGCATGGTAGTAATAGTTACTGTCTGCACCACTTGTTTGATCCTTTATGCTGCCTTGGACTGAAAGCTGTATGTTTCCTTGCAGGTCTATATATCATGCCTCAGAGAATAGGTTAAGCTCCTTGAAGGGAAGGACTTTTTAGTATTTCACTACACCTGATTAGCACTTACCTCAGTCCGTTTCACACAGTACATAACTGTTAGAGGTCTATTGTCTTTTCATATATATTATTTCTATTATACTCCCTACAATCCTATAAGGCAGGTTATTATCTTTCCCATTTTACAGGTGTGAAAACATGATCAGGATAAAGAACTTCCCTAAAATCAGAGCCCACACCAATTGCTTAATTCGTAATTCAAACACAGGTCTGTGATCTCAAAATACCAACCTTTTTCACTATTCAGGTGTTATAAATTGATGGCTTGAAGGCATATTTGATTTGTGCAGCATTTTAATATATTTTGAATTAACAACTAATTTTAACACCTGGAGATATTACATTTATATTCTGGATTTCCATTTTCTCTTGAAAATTCCGAGGGTCAAATAAAACAGGGCCTACGTTTCTACATGGCGAAAACTGGCTTCTTCTTCTTCCAGATATTTTCCACTTTATACCCAGCCCACTCATCTGTGTAGCCTCACTAGTGGTCCTCTGCAAAGACATGAGTTTATAAACCTTGCACCATTCAATGCTTTTATACAACAGTGTATTATTATTTAAGTACCAACATGAGTTATAAGTATAAATGTGAATAGGATTTTTTTTCCCCCAGAGATTAACATAGGCTAAAGATGGGGTCATGCTCTCCTAGAACTTTAGTCAAGACCATGAAACGTACAGGTGGACAAAGAGGAAAAGGCATTACTAAGGGGAAATCATGGATAAGTCGTAGAGTTGGGAATGAGCTTAGTTCTTTTCGCAAGACGCTCAGCTCAAGTTGAGACCTTACTGTGGACAGCCTTAAAAGCCAGGGTGCAGGGTTTAAGGTTTTCTATTACAGCTACTAGGAGCTTTTGCAAAAAGAACTTAGCTCCTAAAATTGAACTTTTATATATGATAAATAGAAAATAATTATTTCACTTTGTTTTTCCCAAAAGTGGGAACTACAAAGATAATGTCTACTTACTTTAAATGAACTTCAGTTTGGGAATGTATCGCTTCTCCCAAAACGTTTCCAGTTTCATCCACCACAGCAGCTGCTGTATCATCACAACTGGTTTCAATTCCCAACACTAGTTTATGAAGAAACAGTTTTCCAGAATGAAAATTAAAAATTCTTAAAAATTCATAAGTTTTCCTTCTTGCTGGTTTAGAAAAGACTCCTGCTGTCTTACTCAGTATTAGCATAATTACTCTATAAATAACTCCTGGAAAAGAAATGAAGAAACAAACTAATTACTTGGAACTGACAATAACCACTAACCCATTCAGTTAAGCAAAATTCCAATTTTATTGGTTTATTTTTCAATATAATAGTTTTGTAAAATTAGGGGAAAGTTTTGTAAAAGTTAGCAAAAATTTTTGAACATAAATGACAGTATGAACGAATACAACGCTCTCGAAGGTGAAAACAAGGAAATCAATTATGAAATTTTTTAGTATTATCATGATGTTCTCAGTAAACTATTCATTATTCATAAAATAGCTAATGGTTGCATGGATAGTCCTTTGGAAAGTGCTATTTATTTTTTGATAGCTTACAGTTAAGACAAAATTGGTTTAAGAAAATTAAACGACAAAGGCAAACAGAACAGATAAATGCATTCCATTTCCTGGAAATATCTTTCAAAATAAAATTTAGCAATTTGGTTAGAAAACAATCCACATAAAAGACACACACACAGCTCAGTTGCCCACTTTGGGAACAACTGTTCTTACAAAGCTCATCTTCCGAGAACCACATGTGGACTAGGACGACTGCAACCTCATACCCACTCCATCCATTAATCACACGTTTTCTAACTCCATCTCCATTTTACCCCAAGTTATCTTAGTAGGATCTCCCCAAATTCTTTTTTTCTCCTCAAAATGACAACAGCCCATCACTAAGCACCCTGGTATCTTCACTCTTTCAAGTATCTGGTTTCACGCCCCCAGACGACCTGTTCTAGAACTTTCTGGGGGCTTATGCGGGCCCTTCTCTACACACTAGCGGGAAAATCAGAGAGTAAGTGCTGGGATTTTCATCGTTCCCCGTGGCGAAGGGCCCCGGGGGTGGAGCGGTGGGCACGGTCCTCGCGCGAGGACCGCGGCGGGGAGCGCAGGCCTGGCCCCGCCGCCCCGAAGGAATCAGATTCGCATCACGAAAACCCAGGCAGGGAAGCCTGAGCGAAGCACTGGTCTTCAAGGCCACGAAAGCTCCTAAGTGGATCCAGGGTCCTGGGCCGGTGGTCCAGGCTGGTGCTGGAATAGCCCCCGCAGGCAGGCGAAGGAAGCCGTGGGGGAGGGCGGGCCGTCTTACCCTCCGTCCCGGCGAACCACCGTGGCCACAGCGCCGGAGACCGGCCCTGGCGAAGACGGCAGACCGCACTGCCCGCAGCGCGAGCGGCGGAGCGGTCGCCCCGGAAGTGACGTCATCGACACGGGGCGGCGTCTGGTCGCCGGCGTCGCAGAGCTCCGTACGGAGCCGCGCGAGGACTGCTCTCGTCCGGGACGCCGCGCGCGCGCTCCTGCGCTGCCCTTAGGTTTACAGGTAGCGGGACTTCTGCCGGGTCACCCGGTTAGGGACCCAGTGGAGGCCGAGGGTGGATTCGTCTGACTCCGCAGCATTAACTTCCGGACACTAAGCTGTGTGGAAAGATCCGTCTGCCTTTGGCTGGAGTTCGGACGCCCCTGTCCGAAAAGGAGGGTTTAGAGTGTCCGTCAGTCCGCTCTGAAGGCTGTGGCCTGACTAGCGAGGGATTCCAGAAACAAAGTGTGGAACGTAGGGACGACGCAAGGACCCGCTGGTACAGGGTCGGAGGGACGGAAGCACTGTGGGTCGGACAGGCTAAACCGTCACTGCCACTTTGGGGAGCGAAGGTGTGGGGCTGCCTCATTTTTGTGATTAAAAAGGGGACGGGGCTATGTATATTCATTTACCATGAAAAAACTATAATATGGTCTTTGCTTGCCATGTACACAGCCTTCAGGAAAATACTCATTCTTGGACCTCCTTCAGTGTGGTTGGTTTGTTTTTTTTCCTATTACTGGTATGTGAACTTGTCATTTGTGTGAATACATTTATCCCAAGAGTCTTTGTTCTGCCACAGGCCTGCTAGACTTCAAGGTTTCACTAAGCTAAGCAAGGACTGCATTTATGCAAGACTGAGTAAGGCTGTCATAGATCCGTGTTTGGAATGGCATGAAGTTCTTGATATAAGTAAATGTAAGATAAGTGAATCACTGTCGGAAGTCACAGTTATAGTCTACTGGCAGATACTAATACATAATAACCAAAATGTTGAGAATTTTCTAGGTGAAACTTAAGCTTTCAAAATGTTGTGTGTCACAATAGTAACCATAATTAGCAATTAACTTACGTTGTCCCAAACAGTGTTGCAGATTAATTTATATAAACCTCACTATAATCCTGTGAGGTAATTAGTTACTGTCCTCATTTTACAGATGAGGCAAATGGACCACAAAGTTTGATGATTTGCAGGTCATACAGCTAGTAAACTTAAAGCTAGGATTAGAAGTTAGGGGCGCCTGGGTGGCTCAGTGGGTCAAGCGTCTGCCTTCAGCTCAGGTCATAATCTCAGGGTCCTGGGATCCAGCCCGCATCGGGTTCTCTGCTCAGCATGAAGCCTGCTTTCTCCCCTCTCTCTCTCTCTCTCTGCCAGCCTCTCTGCCTACTTGTGATCTCGGTGTCAAATAAATAAAATCTTAAAAAAAAAAAAAAAAACAGAAAACTTAGGCCATCTGGTTCTGGAATCTGTTTCCTTAACTTCTAGAAGATAAAATAACTCATATTTTCCTTAGGAAGTGTGGCTGACCCAAAAAAAGAAAAATTAAGACCAAAAGGTTAAGAAAAATTTGTTCTTCTAACTGCTTATGATTGGTTAGAGGTTATTTTCTATTATATGCTGAAATCTAGTTTGACCATAAAACTTTTCACATCTGGCGTTTTCTTGCAATTTGGATTATGTTCAGCAGGTGTGTCTCAACGCCATCCTCTGCAAGAATGTGTCAAGAGTTATCCCTTTTGTATGTGCTGGTATCATTGGTAGATTCCTTATCCAGGCTCTGGCTGGTGTTGAGTCTTAATGCTGCATTATGGGAAACAGCAAAACCCTAGGACACATTAGGAAGGAATTTTATTCTTCCTTAGATTGATGGCACATAAGTAGCAGAAAGAAAAAGGCATTGTACCTTTGGTAAGTAAAGGTATACATTTTCCATTTTCTTTATTGCACTAGAGGAGAAATTATTGGTGGAAAGACATTTATGCTCTATGAGGCCTACCTGGGCTTTTATACAGATCACATTATATGATTTGAATGCCACTGGTGGACATTCTCAAGGAAAGATGGCTTAACTACCATAACTTCCACTTGAATTTAGAATCAAAATATGCTCATTTTTTCTGTCCTATTGCCTGCCTTGGAAGTTTCAGAGGAAAGTAATATATAGAAAAATCTTTATAATAATTTCCTAGTTATATCTTACTAAAATGGATATTTTCATTTGTTACATATTTATTGGGTTCTTTCCTTTGGGCAAAAACTTCACCAGTTTTAGGGATAAAAGATAAGATCCACTCCCTATCTTCAAGGAATGAAGTCTAATAATAGGTAATTACAATACAGCATTACGGAAAGTATATATTTAGAATGGGGAGTTGTTTGGGAAAGGTGGTATAGCTTGAGGTATCCACAGCTTACCAGGACCGTGGTGTGATCAATGGGTTTTAACATCTGATCTTCTAGGCTTGAAATTGGTTTATCAGATTTGAAAGTGACTGGACTCCAGGGTTTTGAGTCACACTCAATCTGCTAAGAAATTGCTTTCTAAAAACCATATACTAACGTGTTAATTTATGAAAAATGTAATGATGAAGGAGGTAGAATACTTAAGCCTGCTGATCATCATTTTCTCTGTATTGAGCAAATTACAGTGAAAGCCAGAGCGAAATCATGAGAAGATTGTTTGGTAAATATGGAATGGAATAAGGAAATGGTTTTGGTGTTTTAAATGGCTAATGTTTCAGGCCTGATGCATCTTTTCACTTGAGTCATGTTACATTCTTCATGGGTTGGATTGTGCTAAAAATACACTGTCATTAGTCTTTCTCCTCTTTAAAGAGTTTTTTTGCTTACAAATGTCTTTGATGTAGAAATTATTTCATTAATGGCAATACTGTCAATTCGATGTCATCCTTGGAAAGTATTTTGCTATATTTTATTTGCTAAGACATCGTGCTTATTTTACAAATTTACTTCCAGATGATTTATTTTACTGTGGTAAAATATATGCAACAGAATTTATCATTTTAACCATTTTTAGGTGTATAGTTCAGTGGCATTAAGTATATTCACACTGTTGTGCAAACATCTTTATCATCCATCTATAAACCTTTTTCATTTTTCCCCACTGAAACTGTACCCATTAAACACTAATTCTCCATTTCCTCTTCCTGCCAGCCCCTGGAAACTTATGTCTCTAACTACTCTAGGTACCCCATATAAGTGGGATCATACAATATTTGTCCTTTTGTGACTGGCTTAGCTCACATAGCATTAATGTCAAAGTTCATCCAATGTGGTAGCATGTGTCAGAAATTTTTTAAAGTGGAATAATATCCTATTGTTTGTATATATCACATTTATCCATTCATCTGTTAATGGACATGGTTGTTTCCATCTTCTAACTATTGTGAATAATGCTTCTATCAACATGGGTTGCACAAATACCTTTTGAAATCCCTGCTTTCAAAATTTCTTTTCAGTATATACCCAGAATTGGAGTTGCTGGATCATATGGTAATTATTTAATTTTTGAGGAATTACCACACCCAGATGATCTTATTTTTCAAGTACGTGGGGTCTATGTGTATTTTTGGCAGGGGGGAGAGAGGGTGAATCTTTTTGTTGCTCCTATATAATCTCTATGACTGTTAAGTACCATAACAGAAATATATGACTTGATAATTCATAGGAGAGATAAATTTCTGAAAGTAGATTCACTGTATCAGGTTTTCTGTAGTAGGTGGTATACTGGTATTTTCTCAGCAATGCTAGTTATGTCATCTGGCTTCTCTGTTCCTATTTAAAAAGTTTTAAGATGAATTTTTTTTAAGACTTTATTTATTTGATAGAGAGAGTGAGCGAGCACAAGCAGGGGAGTTGGAGAAGGAGCAGAGAGAAGAGGGAACCTGATGCAGGGCTCCGTCCCAGGACCCTGGGATCATGACCTGAGCTGAAGGCATACACTTAATCGATGGAGCCACCCAGACATCCCTTATCTTCTTGATAATGCACTCAACATAGTTTTTGCAAAATCTGGACATTTTAAAAAATGTCAATAGAAATTTATAACTACAAAATTGGAACGTCAGAATATAAAATTCTATAAAATTCCTGTCATATTTTATATTTTAAAGAGTTTATTCTACAGTGTTAATGATACAATTTCTTTACTATAGTTCTTATAATTGAGAATTTATTTTTATCAATGTAATTATACAGTTAGACTTGGCCTATTTGCTAAACTTAGAATCATACAGAACTTTAGTGCTATGGATTGACTCACTTCCATAATCATTAATTGGTTATCAAAGGTTTGTATGAGTCAAGAAATGGAATAAATTATAAGGCCGAACATAGAATGCAAATATATTTTTACTAAACCATGTTTTAATTATGAAATATCCGAGATTATGAAAAAGTGTCAAGAATACTATAATCAACTTCTGTGAACTCAACACTCATTTAAGAGAAATATTATCTAATACAGCTAAAGCCTTGCAGGTACTATACAACTAAGATATTCAGTATTCTAAATTGAGTTTCTAATTCTCATGTGTTCATCTGAAGCAAAATGAAAAATTTTAAACCCCATATAACAAACAACCTGCTGAATAATTTTTAGGGAGCAAAATATTTAGGGAGTAAAATAAAAACCCAAGATATTTCATAACTCTTCTTTTTGACATTAGGCAAAATAAGGGAGAATGTTATCATTGCTATTCTCTTACCTACCTTCCTTCCCTGCTACTCCAAACTTCCTTTTAGATTATTTTACTTGGACCTGTCTTCCCAGGACTGAACCTATTTATATTCCCTATATCCACATGTAATACACATGTAATTGTTTTGAAAATTACTCTGTCTTGTTAGAAGCACTATGAAACTGCATTGGTCTACACTGGGCTGCTGCATTTGTCTTCTTTAGGATTAACATGAGTGCATTTTGGAGTCATATTTACTGGAGACATATTAATAAAGGAGATATAATATAGGAGAAATATACTGCATGACAATTAAGTTTCGACTTGACTAGATAATATGAATCAATAGGCTAATATCTACCAAGATGGGGTTCCACAGGAAAAAGAAATCTTAGACTTGACTTAATAAATCTATTAAGTATATGAAGGGAGAGCCATCATTTAAAGGCACTACATGTTGAAGAGTTGAGGTTTTAGTGACTGCAACATGAATCAGTGGTGTGTGGCTGTCAAAATAGCTAAAATGAGACTATATTAAAACAAACAAACAAACAACCAGCATCCAGAACAAAGTACCATTGTAATGACATCACATCTTTTCACCTCTTATAGTCAGCTCTAATACTATGTAATAATAAACTGCAACTCAGAGCAGAATTACCAGGACAGTAGGAGAAATCTGAAACTGTATCACATGAAAAATGGTGAAGACCCTGGTAATGTTTATTCAGTGCTACTGATAACAGTTTAAAAGTTAAATGAAGAGTTACGTAGAATAAGGATAAGATTTTGGCTTAATGTAAAATAAATTATAAATTCCATTATAAAATGCAAGCTAAGTTTAAGTCCTTTATTAGCGTTAACATAGAACTGAATGGAGGCATGATGGTTAATGAAAATTCAAGGTAAGGTAAGGGGTTGAAATTATATATCTTCTAAGGTCTTTTCCAACTCTTTAGCATCATATAACTGCATAAGGCTAATTCGTACAGATATTTAGTTAAGGAAATATTGTTATGCCTCTTAGGATCTTTATGGTTTAATAGATCATAGTGCCATAAACATAGAAAATATAGTTCTATGCTTAAGAAAAAGAGGCAGGGGGTAGCTCAAAAAGACACAGAAGCCAACTTGGAAATTATCACTGGGAACTTGGGACTTCCAATGCCAAATCCAGAGAACAATCTGAACAACAAATTAGTAATGACAATGAACTGTAAACCAAAAATATCTGCAAGTCCAAAATAATATAATGATTGAATAAATAAATGTAGAAGGAATAGGGAAGTAGAAAACCACCATGGAACTCCACAGTAATAACTGTTGCTGGGGAAATTCACCAATGAATCCTAGAATTAGTGGTAGTTCTGAACTCATGTATATTTAGAAACTGCCATTGTTTCCTGATTTGAAATTAGGAACAATGACAGCACAATAATTACTTTTGTTCCAAATAATAGTCACAGTCATTACAGATTTTGTTTTTAAAAGAAGTTTGTTTTTTTTTTTACATAAAATGATACAAACTTATGAAATTGGTAAGCTACCATATTTAACACAACCATTCATCCTGGTGTTAAGACCAAAAAGCATATCCCAAATTTGATCACTTCTCACCACTTCATCAGCGATTTTCCTAGTCTGAGCTAGCTCTTGTCTGTAGTAGTTTTCCAACTATTCCTCCTGCTTCCTATTGCTTTACACTTTATTCTCAACATTAGCCAGTAACCCTTAAAAAAAAAAAAAATCAGATCCCGTTAATCTATGTAAAACTATCCAATGGCTTCATCAAGCTTAGAAGAAAATTTGCTTATTACTTTGGCCAATAGAGCCCTATATCATCTGACTCTATTTCTCTGACCTCATTTGTTACCACTCTTGTCTTCTTGCTTATCACGCCTTTCTCATCCAAAAATCACCTTAGGAACATTAGGGAAGGCTTTCTGAGGTAGGCTCTCCTGACTTTCACCTGCTTAATATTTTTCCACGTCATTTATCACTACATGAAATAGTATGTTTTGACTCATTTATTATCTGTTCTCAAATTTGAACGTAAGCTTGTAAGGGAAAAGATTTTGTCTGTCTTGCTCGCAAACCATAGTCACAACACCTAAAACAATACCTACACGAGACTGGGCCCTTAAGTATCTATTGAATAAATATTTTTAAAACTTTTAAGGGTGGGTGATAAGTGGGGAAAAAAGCAGAAGGCCTGCATTAACAGAAGTAGATTTCTATCTCTGAAGTCTGTGCAAAAATGTAAGCCTTTAAAATGAAGAAAAGCAAAGGAACATTTTTAACTACCTTCATTTTACAAATTTAGTTGCTTAAAAAAACCTTGAAAAATAAATGTGACATTGCTGACTGAATTTGGAGATTATCTGCAATAATCTTACATGAAAGAAAAGTTTTATTCAAGTATAGATTACTGGTTTAAAAATACATGGGAAAAGACAAACATACAAAAGCATTATTACACAACTGATTTCTAAACTCAGTACTTCTGAAATACAAAATAATGATCATTACCCCCCAAAAGTCAGTTTATTGAAACAAATTGATTTTTCACTTGGTCTATAACTCTTTTCACTCAGTTTTGTTTACAAATATTACCGGACTTTTCAGTTTCATCCCATATCAGAACTTTGTTTTTGACATATGTCCTTCTCAAAGCAGTATAAGTTATTTCTTGTAATTAATGCCAGCTATCGGAAGCGTCTCTAAGCCACAAGAATTCAATGTGGTTGCTGCTTTGGAAACAGTTACCACTCTGGGTTAATCTACACTAAGATTCATGTACTCAAAGGCAAAACATTAATGGGCAAAATATGGGGGCTGAGAGCAGGGGATGTAAGAAAAATTTTTTTTTTTTTTTTTTTTTTTTACTGCAATCCCGCTAAAGACGACTCCATTATTTACTTTGGTGCTACTGCCAGAGAAGCAGTTTCTGCCAGACCACAGGTCGGCTTAATTGCTGTCCATTTTGTCTCCTTTCCTCAACAACAGTGGTCTTTAACAATCAGATTGATCAACTAAATCAGCAGAGAGCTTTAACTTATCATATATTTTAACTGTGTGAAATAAATTATTTTCTTCACTGGATTAGCAGCCTCGTGCCTGGAAAGGCAACAAAACCCACTCTGCTCCAAAATGAGAAGGCTGACTCAGAGGCTGTTTTTAAGATGCCTGGCTGTCTTCTATCACCAGTCATGAAGGTGGACCTTCACAGTAACTTAATAAATGTAAAAACGACCTCATCCTTCAATACAATGTCAAGCCAGCAAAACCAAAAAAGTACAATCATAAAGTAGGGATTGGCTTGTATAAAACAAGAGGGAAATAGCCTCTTATGTAACACAAGAGGAATATATATGGTAATAAAAGTGATCTGTAATAAACTTGTAAAGAGATGATTCTGGTTTACATGTATGTCTGCTTAAACTGACTGAATGATTGGAAATTTTCTTCTCCTAACATAATGCCCACTCATTATAAGCTAAGGTGTTCTTAGTATCTTATAAATCTCTTCTTTCCTTGGATTTATCTACTATACCCTCACTTTGCAGCCATTTAACTTATACGCTGGGCCTGCCCAGCCTGCCTATAAAGCCTCTCTTTAGAAAGATACCACGTGCATTAAACAGAGGCATCTTCTAGTAAGTATCTGCCCTTCAAAACAGCATATGAAGAACCAGCAACTAGCCCTCCAATGTAAATGCTTCTCATTTCACATTATCATGGAAACAGTGTGGTTTCCTAACCACTCCTTCCTTACAGAAAACTCAGTAGCTGTAAACATTTTTGTTCCATTCCAAAACATTTCAATACTTATTAATTCCAAAGATCCGAACACCATGAAGCTGTGGCATTTTAGGAATTAGCACAGTCAGGAGAGAAGCTGTGTTTAGGATGAAGTGAGTTGGATCATACTTCGTATAGAAACTTGCCAGAAAATATCTGCAGAAATAAAAATTAAAAACATATGTAACATGTAAAATTGGTAAAAAATTTAAAGGTAAAAAAGGCCAGTGAAACAATAAATACCTTTGGGGCCTACATTAATTTGGGATTTAAAAAGTGATTTTAACGGAGGCATATACGCACAATTCACATTTCTGCCATTATGTTAAATGCATTTGAAAGAACGTGTTTGCGGGGCGCCTGAGTAGCACAGTTGGTTGAGCGTCCGACATTCAGTTTTGGCTCAGGTCATGATCTCGGTGTTGGTGAGAGCAAGCCCTGCAATAGGCTCCGTGCTCAGCATGGAGTCTGCTTGGGATTCTCTCTCCCTCTGCCTCTCCTGCTCACGTTCTTTCTCTCTCTCCCTCTCCAAAATAAATAAATAAATCTTAGAAGAAAACAAGGTGTTTGCTACTTAGTATCCTTTAAAGTATAAATCAATTTCAGGTACAGTTTTGTATTTATGTGTACGTTTCTGAAGAGAAGATCCAGATCCAAAGCATCTATCATATTTTCAAAGGTTTTGTGACGTACCAAAAGGTTAAAAACTACTGCTATAAAGTTGTAAAAATGGGGTGTTAGTACATTAGTACAATTCAGTATCTTTGAAAGAAAGCAAATACTTGATCGCTCTTTTGATGTTCTCATTTCCATATTGTAGCTGTACAGGTCGACAACCAATTTAACTGGAAAACTGATAGACACTGTTGTAAAATTCCAACTGCTTTGCCGAATTGGACATATGTGCATATTCAAAGACATTCAACATCTGAGAATTTAACAAGACTAAGCTACCTTTAGGACCATAAACCATCAAGTGAGAATTGTCTAGCTTTACCCAAGGGTACATCAGAGTGCAGACACATCATCTGGCCACTGAGAGTATCCTACTATAGATAAGATGTAAAGACTAAAATATCATACTTTACTTGATCATAACTAAGAAGCTATTCTGATATGGCTGTTCATCTAATTAGTACTATTAGAGTATACAGGAAAGTATCCTAGTAGCCTTTCCTCTAAGTACTGTCATTAATTTCTAATAAGGGGAAAAAAACATCTTGTATAATATGGTTAGAAAAGAACAGCTATTTTCAGGTATAACTAAAAAATCAAAGAGAGCTCCATATATCATTTTCAGAATCATCTAAATTGAGGAATTCTATAATTTTCCACCTATTTCACAAACTATAATCAGAAAATCCTTCTGGAGAATAAGCCATAGTCTTCAACCTTGAGTCTAAACCCTTTCTTCCACATTTCATATACCTGAAGACTGTTTTTATACTCCCTTCACTGAACAAAATAGCATACCACTTGCATTTAGTAAGCATATCTGATTTCCTATAATCATTATGGGTTTAATGTATAACCTGATATGTTGGAAATAGTTTATCTTTTTGGAATGGTTTCTCATACTGTAACACATGTCCCCCTTTAGGTCTTTTAATAAAGACTAACTTTGTGTGTAAATGATAGGAAAATTACTTGGTTCTTACAAAAACTTAGACAACCCTCCAAACGGATGCAAAACCAAGGTGGGAATTATTTAACTCCAAGATGCCAGATTTCCATTTGCCAATTTCCAGTTACCAAAGGGTATACTGGGAAGAGACCTATATTGAAGTTTAGGATTTTATCTGGGCTCTGGACTCTAACTAGCTGTAAGACTGAAATAAGGTAACGCATTTGAGCCTATTTCTTTATCTAAAAATCTGGGATAACATTGCATGCCCCACCTACCTGACAAATGATGATCAAATAAGAAAATATGAAAGCACTCTGAAAAGTATCAATTTATACAGATGGCTTTAATGTTGTTTCTTCAGTTATATAAGGAATTTAATCACAGAATATTTGAAATCATACCTGTGGGTCAAAAATACATTTTTAGAAATATGGATGTTGTACACAGGTACATCTTAGTTGACTATTTTGTGACAGCTCTTACTGAAAATTCAGTAGAAATGTCAGGCTTTTTACATTAATTATAATGCAATCCTCAACATTTTATAGATGAGGAAACTGAGGCTTTCAAAGAAATAGCCAAAAGTCATGCAGCTAGTAAGCAGTAGAGCTAAAATCCAAATTTAGGGTTGTTTGCATAACTATTATTCCTGTTATTGAACTTATCTTTATTATATCATATAAATCATTTATCTTTTGATGTTAATTTATAGGGGGCTGGAACAAAAACTTTAAAAATTTCTTCAAAGTGCTATCAATGTAAGAAAAAAGAAATCTATCACTTTATGATCAATTTATTCTTCTCATTCGAAAGAGCCTTCCTTTTTCTGCTCATCTATCTAAAATCCTAGTTTAAGGAATCCTAAAGCCTCCAAGAAATCTTTCCAGTTATTCCAGACTGCACTGATTTTATCATGGATGCATTACATTACTATATATAAGCTATAAGATACCCAGTGTTTGACTAAGAAATATGTAAAATGTCCATTATACGTATGCAACTACACTGAGTGTGGGATTCAAAGCAATCTATGCACTGACAAATTCTTTGCACAAACAAATCATTTATAATCACAGATAATACAAAGTGGCATAAGTAAGGGATATGTAGTAACTACTAAAGCGCAAAACAGACCATTATTACTTAAGGATGGGTGCTAAGGAAAAGACCTTATTGAGGAGGTAGGATCTAAATCTTGAAAGAATGATAAATTAAGAAAGGAGAAGGTATTTGGGGTAGAAGAAATGATTTGAACAAAGGCACAGAAATAGGACTACATATGAAGTATTCAAGAAATGCTGGCTAGAAAAGCTTTACCAGATGGGAGGTGGATGGGGGTAAAATATTCACATAGAGGGAAAATGAGGTAGGAACCACTCTGTGAAAGGCCCTGAGTGTCAGGTAAAAGGAGGTAACTTAAGGTTAAATGCTTTACAGATAGATATTATCTCATTTATTTCTTATGGCATCAAATTGAGCTATGTACTAGTGGTTAGAATTTCATTTATGAACAAACCAAGCAGGGTGAGTGATAAACACAGGATTCGACTGAGATCTGTTCTATGATGAAAGCCTAACTTCTCTTGTCTATAAACTATACAGCAGTCTCTCCCAAGGAGTTTGAACATCTAAATTGGGGGCAGGACCGGGGTGTGGGGGAGGTGGTCAATGAAATTCATCATAAATCATCCAAATCCTTGTTTAGGGAGATATGGAATAAGATGATGTATTTAGCTTTCTTGTAAGTAACTTAAGGCTATGAGCTAGGATATATTTGATTTGTATAACCCAGAATGTCTAAACATACTAATAGGCACACTATGTTGTCTCTGTTTATTACTGACTGAGGTAAAAATAGTTCATTACCAGCTGTTAAAAATTTTGCCTGTATTTTATGCTCTGTATAGCTATTTATTGGTAGATGTTTCAACAAATATTGTTTCTAATTGAAATTCAACCTACTAAAAGGACAGCTCCCTCTTACCCAATCTTCTTCATACCTAAGAAATTTCCACCACTTACAGAATTATTGGAGAAATTGTGAAAAACTTCCGTGAAGATGTAAACTGTACTCCATAGTCCAGTTGTTCCCAATGAGTTAGGAGCCTTGCTTTACCCTGGTCAGGAGTTTCAAAAGGTGTTCCTTTTACTGCATGCAAAAATACATACATCCCCTGGAAAACAAGCAAGGGGATATATAATCAATACCAAATATAAAAATGTAATTGTCAGTAAGCATTAAGGTAGTTCCAGAGGGCTTATGACAGTATGGGTGACTCAACTTAACAGCTCAAATTTTAAGCTTTCATAATATTTGTGAAAGGCTGTGGCCAGTTTCTTCAAAGCAAAATAAAACTTCCAGAGGCATATAAATATTATTTGGTGAAAACCAATAAAAGATCAACTGAAACTAACCTGTTTTCATCTTCTATTAAACTGAAAATACACACACACACACACACAATCAGGATAACTTTACATCATTACATTTAGGTTTTCTAATACCTTTCCTATTGGGAAACAGGATTATCTTTCTTTCTTCTTTTTTTTTTTTTTTTTAAGATTTTATTTATTTGACAGAGAGACAGAGCCAGAGAGCACAAGCAAAGGGAGTGGCAGAGAAGGTAGCAGCTTAACGAACTGAGCCACCCAGACTCAGGAAACAGGAGTATCTTATCCCTGATGTATAGGAATGTTTAGGGTCATATTAATAAATCTGATGATATTTACAAAATTATAAAAACATATAAATTCGTAAATAATAAAATTTCTGCATTGGGGAAAATGGTTTTGAAAATGGTCTTTGTCTCAATGGTTCTTTTCTAACACAACAAAGATGGTTATATATAATATATATATTATATATATATATATATAATCTATATATATATAGATATAATGTTCAACTCAATTTGATTTTAAAATCACCACTGTGCCCCAATAGTGTTTCTTTTGAAGTTAATTTTTAAAAAGATTTATTTATTGATTTAAAGGGTGGGGCAGAGGAGAGGGAGAAAAGCCAGATGCGGGGCTCAATCTCAGGACGCCAAAATTATGACCTGAGCCAAAATCAAGAGTCAGATACTTAATCAACTAAGCCACAGAGGTGGCCCTAAAAGTTAGCTTTTTTGAAAGTAAAAAGCATTACTAAAATCCATTCTGTCTGGGGATATATTTGAACATTTAATTTTGTCATTAGGAAAAAAACTAATATATGCTAGATTTTGTATCCTTGATTTTATGATTCTCTTTAGATCATTGGTAGTACTTCATTGCAGGATGGATCACTGAGGCACCAGTAACAGAATATTCTTGCCTAAATACTATCATCAGTTTTCCTCTTAGAAGTCACAATGAGGTGTCCTTTTTGCTTCTTCAACTTTTAATAAATATATGGAAAAAAAAGAGAAATTGGTGGTTTGAAATTTTATATTATTAACTAGGTTAAGAGAGCCATTCTTTTCAAAGCTGAGTCTACTTTCTAGTTATTCCATCAGGCATTTCAAAAGTTGTTTAGCTACAATAACACCTAAGCTATACAGAAACACACTCTTGTTCTATTGGATTTAAGTCAAAAAGCATTTAATAAATGGCTTATATGGTCAGGACACATGACATGTATGCACATATGAAACTGAGTAAGAAACGTCCACAGCCTTGAAAAAAATGCAATCTTCTATGAGATGGTAAGAAAAAGACATCCATAAGCAACTAGAATGTAGGGCAGAAACCACTACCAAAGGTACAGTCAGAGTATATGGCCAATGCGGAAGAGGGAAAGGTTCTTTGCTGCTGAGGCAAAAGCTATGATGCTACCTTGTCAACTATCTCATTCTTGAAGGTTCAGCTCAAGCGACAACTCCTTAGTGAAGCCTCCCTCATTAGTAATAGCTTATGTGCTTGTATAGAATTTTATTAAAAATACTTTTATTTCTAGCACAATGTATTTTGTTAGAATTGTTTACATGTTTGTTCTCCCATTAGCCTGAACACCTCAGGAACAAAGGTTGGTATACAGCAAGTACTAGATACTAAGCCAAGATGACACTAAGCTAAGGAATGTTTATTCTGTAAGCACAAGGAAACCATTCTCACATGGGCTTTACAAGAGACAATTAAACAGAAATTGTCTGTTAAATTCTGAGGAGTATAGGACCCAAAAAGTTAAGAATCTCTACTCTAACCCATGCATGTATTAGAAACATCAAAGAGAAATACAATCCTCTCATTATTTCCTTCAAATTACATGTATCACTAGTGTTTAGAATATTCAAACAGAATTTTTTATATAGGGGTGTGTGGGTGGCTCAGTGGGTTAAAGCCTCTGCCTTCGGCTCAGGTCATGATCCCATGGTCCTGGGATAGAGCCCCACATCAGGCTCTCTGCTCCGTGGGGAGCCTGCTTCCTCCTCTCTCCCTGCCTGCCTCTCTACCTGCTTGTGATCTCTGCTTGTCAAATAAATAAATTAAAAAAAAAAAAAAGAATGTCTTATATATCCTTTTCAGTTAAAAAGAATAAAATCTTATCTGACCATACATCTTCTATCCCATTATTTTTAATAGTTATTCCATAAAATTTAGTGATGGAAAATTTATACCCAATCAAAAAAATTGGGGAAGAAAATATGTAGCTCATGGTTAGCCGTTAATATTTACTGGCTCAAAATGCAGAACATTTTCATTCAATTAAAAAGCTAGGCTGAGAATTCTGTGAAATATTAATACCTCTAAAAGTGAACTACAGCACTGTAAAAATGAATAAAAACAATCACTGTTGGCTTCTACTCTATGGTTCAGAAAGTTAAAGGCAGTATTTTTTCTAACCACGGATAACAAGTAGGTCTATTTTCCCATTTAAAAGGGCTCAGGACTATTTAATATTTTATTGGTTTAATGTACTCTGTCTTCAAAGGAAACTTAAATCTGGAGTCATGTTAATTGCTACATCAATGGCTGGTAGTTAGGTTTTTAGTGTGGTGAACTAATAAGCCAAAAGTTTGCTTTCCAACAAGTTGTCAATTACCTATGCTTTGTTCAGAGACATATACTGTGTTTCAAAATCTCAGTCAACCAACTTGAAAACATCTGGGCAAGGGGAGAGGGTGACTTCTAAAGTATATTTAATACATGTGCCACTGGAGAAGGGAAAATAATATGAGAACACAGACTAATTCAGCAAGCAGTTACAAAGGTCTTTAGGATATGGGAAATAAGGAGATAGATTCCTAATTATAAAACTATGATAAATACACTTAAAAGAATGCAGCATGAGAGTTCTGTAGCTTCCTGGAGAAGGAGATATTCGAGTAGTTTTCCTGGACAAGTAGGAATCTGCTCAGCAGAGGAGGGTGGAGGGAGGGTATTAAAATAGTGGGAAAAGAGCCTAAGCCAAAACAAAAGGTGATAATTTTCATTATTGTTAGAGCAATACTCATGTTTGGAGATGCACTGAGATAAGGTTGAGTCCTTTTCTTGACTCTGTACTGTTATCAACTGGTCTTGTATGCCACATAAGGAACTTATTTTACTATGAATATAATAAGGATTCATAGAGGGACTCAGAGCATGACTTGAGCATATATGCATTTTAAATGCATTTAAAATAACTCTCTGCCAAGTTGGAATGGAGGATGGTAGAGGAACATCAAGGAAACCATTTAATCTACTGGAGTAATCCACCTGAGAAAAACATAAGGGCACAAATTATAGCAATGCCAATGGGGATCAAATTGAGACAGTAGAGCAGTAAAACAGGGCTCTGACTAAATGGATATGGAATGCAGAGGAAAAGGAGTTAATCTAAAACAGAGTGACCACGTATCTTAGATAGCATGAATGGTCCTGATTTACACCTATTTTCTTGGAATAGTTTTTACTAGCGCTCCCTTTTACTCTTAAAACAGTCTCAATTTGGATAATTCTTTACATGAATCACTTTACCTTTGACATTCAGCTATCTGGCTTGACTTACCGGACAGACAGTGGTGCCTTTAGATTAGATCAGGAACAAAGCCAGAGGAACAGGTTGTGAGTGGTAAGGGAGAGACCAGGAATGAGTTCAATTTATAATTGTTTGGCTTAAGGTACAAGGTGATCTGGCAATATAGATGAAGTAATCTTGATAGAATACACAGAATAAAAAGAGATGAAGAACTGAACCTTGGAGGCAGAAATATTTAGGAGGGGAAAACAGAAGGAAGAATTTACAAGAAAGAGAAAAGGAAAATGAGAAATGTATCTAGGAAAAAGTGATCCCATGAAAGCCAAAGAAAAGGAATTCTAGTAAGGGATATAACTCCTGTAAAATATTTCAGAGAAGTCACTACTTAAAAATAGTCCTACCAAAGTCCATCACATAAAATGGACTAAATGACATTTATTTATTTTTATCACCACATTATCCTTGTTCTCCTCCAATCAAATTCAAATACCCTTCAGAAGATAGGAACTAAATAATATTAATTTAAAAAAGAACTATTTCTCCTATATTTTTCTGCCTTAATATTCCATGTTCTTCATTTTCTGGATATCTTTAAAAATATAATTAATCTGGAGTCAATTATAAGTCTCAACTAATGGATTTCTCCTGTTTCATTCTGCCTTCTTAGACTGTTAAAGATAAGAGAGGTCACTATCAGGTTTTTAAAAATTTTTTTAAACAATTTCCAGGGCTGCAAAATCTGGTCAGTAGAATCAACTGAACCTTTGTGGGATACTGTGCAGAGCTATCCTATAATACAGAAGAACCACAGTCAACATGAAAAAGCTAAGGCACCATAAGATCCTCAATTACTTAAGATATACCTAAGCTCAAAATTTCTATACTGAAGGAGAGTATATGTATACAGTTTAGAAAGGATTGAAGTTTAACAAGGATTGAAATCAAAGATGGTTATTAGTCTCCAGATAATCAAAAACCATAATTACTTCTGAAGCATTCTTGTTAGTCAATATAACAGCCTGAATTAGTGTCTTGTAATTTTTGCTAAAATGACCTACTATTTTCTAGATTCCATAAAACCATAAGGAAGAAAAAAAAGGTCTTACTTAGAAAAAGGGCCCAATGTTTAAATATAAAGTATTATAGAAAAAAATATAATTCTATTCCAGGTTAGAATTCTTCAAAATTGTCACATATATTAAAAAAAAAATCACTGAACTGTACACTTCTAAGTCAGCAAATTTTATATTCTATACTATATAATTATGATTAAATCTCAATAAAACTATTAAACTAAGTCATGTGTTTTTCTTCTTTATAGCATAAAGCTTTAAACTTTTTAAAAAATTGTTTAAATACACATAACATAAAATGTAGCATCGTAATCACTTCTAAGTGTACAGTTCAGTGGTATTAAGTGCATTCACACTGATATGCAACCATCACCACCATCCATCTCTAGAACTCCTTTCATCTTACAAAATTGAAACTATACCCATTAAACAGCAACTCCCTTTTTCTTCTTCCCTCAGTCCCTGACAAATACTAAACCTTAGGTTTTTAGGTGCTTTGTATAAAGTGAAATTCTTACCAGATTATGTATAACATTTGTTAAGGTCCAAGCAACAGGAACACTGAAGAAGGGAATACTGAGTAGGACAATATGAAGCAAGCCAACTCCTAACGCGTATGTCAGCCACATACCCCGGCTGTTCATTACACGGGTATTTGGATTCACCTCACTGTGGGCAACTCCAACATTCATGTTTGCTCTGCAGGAAAGCAATGAAATGAATCAACAATGATATAACTGGAAACCTAAACAGTCTTCATTCTGGCATGATAAAGTAAGTGTCACTGGGATCATTCTTCTCTAGTTTCTAGTTTCTCTATAATAGAGCATTATTTAGCCATAAAAAGGAATTAAAACTTGTCATGTGCAACAACATGGATGGACCTAGAGGATATAAGGCTAAGTGAGATAAGTAATAGAAAGAAAAATACCATATATTTCACTTATATATGGAATTTAAGAATCAAAACAAACAAAAAGACCAAAAAAACCCGCTCTTAAATACAGAGAACTGGGGGTGGTTGCCAGAGGGGAGGTTGGTGAGAGGGGATGGGTGAAATAAATAACGGGGATTGAGACTACGTTTATCTTGATGAGCACTGAGAAACGTACAGAGTTGTTCAATCATTATATCGCACACCCGATACTAATATAACAGTTTGTTAATTATAACTGAATTAAAGACAAAAACAGGCAAAGTGGATCCAGCCAGTCATATTCTGAGTAGCCAGACTCCTGTACCTAATGTAACGTTGTTTCCAAAGAGCGGTCAGGATCAAATCACTGCTTTTTAAATACTGACCCTGGGAGAACTCACGGAGGTGAGAAACCTACGTGGTCAAGGGCTAAGGTTGGTTTCTCAGTCTCACGATACAGGGAAGTTAAAACAATGAGTCTTTCCTCCTTTAACTCAACTCCCCTAAAATTTTAGTTCTTTGATTTTTTCTAAAGCTTCTCTTCTAAAGGTTCTCAGCCTCCCTCGAAGGAAACACAGCGGCCCTGAAGATCGTCCACCGTCCCCGGGGACGCCCGCCCGCGAGGCTGCAGGGCGGGAGGTGCAGCGCGCCCGGAGCAGGTCAGAGAAGCCCACGACCGCTTTCTCCCACGAGCTGGCACCGAAGGAGGACTTTCTCACAACGCCATCCAACAAGCGTTTCCGGAACGAGAGGCCGCCCTCGCTCTGCAAAAGCCCACGGAGCGTCACGGCTCCGCGAGGGCAGCGGGACACGCCGGCGACGCGCCGGGGGCTCGAGGTGCCGCGCGTCCGCGCTTCTGCGGATCTAAAGGCGCGTTTCACCGCGTCCCCCATCTTCCCAAGCTGCAGGCCGTACTCAGAGGAGCCGCAGCACACTCTGCCCACCTTCCACGGCCGCAAAGAAAACACCAAAGCTCCAGAGAGGCTGAACATTTTCGTCTGAGCCGGGAGGCAGAGCCGGGGGTGCGCCCCACCCCAGGGCAGAAAGCCTTCCCGGACGTCCGCCGCGCTCCTTCAGGGCTTCCGACTGTGAGGAGCCGCTCGGCTCTGCCCACGCCGGTGTCTCGAGGGCGGCGACGGCCCTCCTGGGGACTTCCTCGCCCGCCGGAAAGCCGCGGCAGCGCCTACCGACGGCTGGAGCGCTCCGCCCGCGGAAGCTCCGCTACAGCCGCGGCGGCTCCCCACGCACGCCTCCCCGACTCGCCCCTTCCTTCTCGGAGCCGCCCCTCCCACAGGACCACGGCGAGCGACGAGGTCTTGGGGACAAGCCTCGGAGGCCATTTGGTCCGCACCCGCCGACCGGGAGCCGCCGACGAAGCCGCAGTCCACCTTCCCCCCTCCAGCCTCCCCGGCCCAACAGCGCCTTACCGCCGCGGACAGCAGCACAGCCCCCACGGCCTCTCGTGCTCACTCACCCGCCGCCTCAGTCCCGGCGGCCGGCTCGGAACCCAGTCAGCTCCCGGGCGACGGCTGCTCCTCAGGCCCGCGCGCCTGCGATCGGCTCGGAGCGGCGCGGCGCAGCGCAGCACAGCTTGCGGAAGCGTCCGGAGCGGAACGCGCCGCCAGGGGATTGGCTGCGGGCAGCGTCCGTCTCACGCCGCCTGGGCGGGGCGGGACTAAGAGCTGCGCGCCCAGTGCCCGCCCCGCCGCGCACGCTTAGGGGCGAGTCTGGGACCCGGGAGGTTGGTCCTGGGAGCTCGGCGGGACGCCGGCGGGTCCGCCAGTGGACTGCAATCGCCCCCTCGCGCGAGCCGGAAGGTAGTGTTGTGTGCCTGACGGCGTTCATTCTCCTCTTGTCCGTCTCCAGAGCCCCTTCCCCTCGGCTCGCCGGGTTTGGCGTGAGGGCACCTCCGGCAGCCCTGCGCCGCCCTCGCGCTCTGCCCCCTGCCCGGAAGGGGCGGGAAGCGGGCGCAGCCGGGCTCGGGCGTGCGCGTGGAGCGCGGCCTTTAAGCGGGGCTCAGCCGGTGTCTGTCCGCTTTGGCGCTTCCTGACTGAACGCCGCGGGGGCTTTGCTGCAGCCCGTGGCCCGGGGCCTTCTGAGGGCGGGATTTCAAGTTTGTGCCGGCGGACACTGTGACTGCGGACGGCCGCAGCTCGGAGCCGGCTGTGTGTGGTATTCTGTGGCGGCGCACACGGGACGCAAGCGAACTGTCGCTGGACCGTGATTTCGCCTGGTGTCGTGGGTGCGCCCGCACGGCGGGGAGGGCGCCTGGGTGACGCGCCGAGGGGGTGGAGGCTGCAGGGTGATCTTATCTGGGAATGGAGAGGAGGTCAGGCTGTTCGGATTTACCTCGGAAATCGAGCCTCGTCGCCGTGGCCATTCACGACACCGATCGGCCTTGCGGAGGTAACGCGCAGGGACGCTTCAGAATTCGTGTCGGAAGCTGCACCCGATCTGCGCGTCCTGAATTTCCGTTGGCTCCGAAGCCGGCCGGGTTGCGTTTACTGTCTTTAAAGCAAGGGGTTTCGTCCTGTCTGCCTCCGCCGCACACTCTCGGCTTCTTTTCTAGGCACCTTGCGGTCCTTCGGCGACCTTGCTGGACGGTCTCTTCCAGGCGTGTTCGATTCCCTGCCGGCGAGTGTGGACGGAGACGGACTCCGGATGCGCGCGCGTTCCGTGCTTGTGACGTAAGCCGCCCCCTCTCACGGCCCTAAGGGTCACTCGGTGCGCAGGTGGTCGAGCCCTTGCTGGGTTCCCCAGGTTCGCTGGGGCTAGGAGAGACTATGAAGTCTCTGTCCCCAGAGAACTCGGAGCTGGGCGGAAGAGACCAAAACAAGAGGTGGAAGAGCCCGTGATGAGTGTCGGGTTGGAAATAAGGAGAAGCTGCTGTGGGGAGTACCCAGGAAGGACAGCCTCATCTCCTGGGGCGGGGAGGGCTCCAGGTTGGAGCAGTTAGAAGTGCTTCCCTGAGCAGATGATACGGACCTAAATCCGAAGGGAAGTCAGAAGCCCTCGGTGGAGGCAGCCTTGTGAGCTGAGGAGCAAGCGAGTGCCACCGCGTTGAGAGAGACAAGTTGTGTGGTGTGACGAGTTCCTGTGCATTTCCGGACTAGTGGGATGAGATCAGAAAGGGAGAGGTCCAGGTGTTACGGAATTTGCACTTTGCCTGATTAGCGGTGGGAACTCTTCGTGAAACTTGAGGTAGGAGAGCAACCTCTAGAGATTCAACTATGGAAAGAAGCCTGTCATTGGTTGAGATTTGACGCAAACTATCAAGTAGGTGGTTACGCCCTACCTACTTCAGGAGAAGTGTTCAGGGGCTGAGCAGAGGTTATAGGTGTAGAGAGGAGAGGACTAGTTTGAGAAATATTTAAGTAGTAGATAGATAGTAGATAGAGAGGATTGTGTGGCAGGATGTAGAAAGCGTAGAGGATTTCTAGTATGACTTCGGGATTCTAATTCTGGCCTGTGAGACTGGCTGAGCATGGCCTTTGGAGTCAAACATGTCAAGATAAGCACATGTGCATCTGTCACTGACTAGTTTTGTGATCTTGAGTCTTGTGATCTTCGATCTTATAAAACTTAAATTTCATTTGTGATAGAGGAATGATAGGGCAGTTGTGAAGATTAAAATGGGATTTTATATGTATATATATGTAAAGTTGCTTATGGTAGCTGTTACTTTTATTATCAAACAAATATAAGAACAACAACAGTTAAATAGAGAAATATCTGAGATTAGTTTGGGGCATGTTTAAGTGTGAGTTTCCTCTGAGTTATCCAAATGATGATATTTAGAAGGTTCTTGGAAATGAGGTCCAGTAAAAAGTCTGGTTAGGAACTACAGGTGAGATAGGAGATGACATGGAATAGAGTTTATAAAGGGAAGGCAGTGGTGACTTGCTAGGAAGGAGGACACTCTTGCTAATGTTTACGTTGAAATGCTGATAAAATTTTTTTGTGTGTGACCCTTGATTAGTATTCTTCAAGTGATTACTGTGAGTGAAGTACTCTGATTGTTCCGTGTTGCATCTAGAAATACATAATATATAATTGCCTTGTTCAGAAGTTGTACAGGTCAGGACAGGGGCGTGATAAACATTCAACAAGTAATGTGAACCAAGTTCTTTAGGAATGTAGGGGGAGGAAAGGATCATTCCTGATCGGGTGGTCAGAAAGGACCATGTTACAAGTGGCTGTGGAACTGACTCTAGGATGATAGATAGGATTGCACTAGGAGGAAGTAGAGATAGAAGTAGGATGGGATTGCTGGCAAAGGAAGATTGAGGTTTTTGATCTTATTAATTAAGAATAGTGTGTATTGGGGCGCCCGGGTGGCTCAGTGGGTTAAGCCTCTGCCTTCAGCTCAGGTCATGATCTCAGGGTCCTGGGATCAAGACCCACGTCGTGCTCTCTGCTCGGCGGGGAGCCTGCTTCCCCCTCTCTTTGCCTGCCTCTCTGCCTACTTGTGATCTCTCTCTCTCTGTCAAATAAATAAATAAAATCTTAAAAAAAAAAGAATAGTGTTTATTAAGGGAAATAGCAAAGTGAAGTAGAGGGTGGGGGGAGGGGAGCAGGAAGATAAATTCTGTTTTACAAATAATTATCTTGAGGTAGCCTTGACACTGATTGTTAGAAATGCCTATTTTAATGTGGAAAGACAGAGATCTCTGTTGGGGATATAGTTTTAGAAGTTAGTTTGGCTTCATAGAGAAAGAAGATAATCACTGGGGTAATAGGGTTGAGGGAATAATTTTTTGTTTGTTTTTGCATTGAAGGTCAAGATTCCTAAGGGCAGACTGGTTAAAGAAATTAGATGGAGGTTCTTAGGAGAAGAGACAGAGACCTGGGAGTTAGGGAAGAAGGGTGTGGACAGAGGTGTAAATATTTTAAGAAACCAGAGGACACAGTGGGGTGGAGGAGGTAAGATGTGTGTGAAGATAGAATTCACATAATGGTCTGCCTTGACGTCAGTATTGGGATGGAATTAGGGACTTGGGGGAAAAATAGATTTTGAAAGACAGATTGTAGAGAATGAGGCAGAAATGCTGAGGTTGATAAGGAGCTTACTCAGAAAGAGTAAAAGATGAGGTAATGCTAGATTTATACCCAAAGTTTGATCAGTGTTTTCTTAGATCCTTGTCATTCTCAAACTAAGGTAGAAGACCTCTTCAACTCAACCCTCATCTGATTGCAGGCCATGTAACCTTTGTGGGAGTAGGGATTAGAAGCGGGTAAGAAACCTATTCTCTTAAGAGTTTAGGGGAACTCAGTGTAGCCCATGTATCCCAGGCTCTTTAACATGTGTATGCCAAACACTGTAAAAAGTTATATTCATTATCTTATTTATTACTCACCAAAACTGTATGATGTTATTATCTCCATTTTTATAGATTAGATGATTGAGTTTTAGGCTTTAATTATTAGCATTATGTAACTATTAGCATAAGAGCTAGCATATAATGCAAGTGATGTGATTTCAGAGCCTGCTTTGTTAACCACTGCCCTATATAGCACTGTCGAATAGAACTATAATGTATACCACATATATATAATTTTAGATTTTCTCGTAGTCACATTAAAACAAGTAAAAAAATGAAAATAATATATTGAGGTAAGCTGATATATTCAGAAAATCATTTCATTTTGTAGTCAGTGTAAGAAACTAGTAAAAGTTTATATATATTTTTTCATATTACGTTTGAAACCCAGAGTGTATTAGAACATCTTAATTTGGAGTTGCTACATTTCAAGTGCTCAGCAGTCACATTTGTCTAGTGGCTACCATGTTGGACATTGCAGCTTAGACCTTTAGCCTGTTTGCAGTCTGAACCTGGGGTAGCATGCTGAGGGTGCCTTTTGCTTGTGATAGCACTCATTTGTGTGAATGGTAGAATGGTAAAGCAACCTACCTGTCCACATTTTTCCTAACTGGAAAAGCCTCCCAGCATTGAGACCCACAAAAAGCCACTGAAAGGTAGTTGTTTACAGCTACTCTCCCTTAAACTGTACCCTAAAACTAAATCAAATATATAGCTTAATTAGAAGTTAATTGCTAGTATTAAACACTTCCAGTATTCCATAGCGATCTCAAATCACAAAACTGTACATTTTATATAGTCTTATCATTTACAGAACATTTTATTTTATTTTTAGATTATTTTTTAATCTTTTTTTTTCCTTAAAAGATTTCACTTACTTATTTGACATATAGAGAGAGGGGGAGAGTGAGCACACAAGCAGGGGGGTAGCAGGGAGAGGGAGGAATAGGCTTCCCACTGAGCAGAGAGCCAGACATGGGGCTTGACTCTAGGACCCTGGGATCATGACCTGAGCCAAAGGCAGATGCTTAACCAACTGAACCACCCAGGCCCCCCTAAGAATATTTTATATGTATTTGCTTATTAGATCCTCACAACAAACCTGCAAAGCCTTATCTCCGCTTATGGAGGTAATGAATTGATTTTTCAGAGGGAGGGATTTGCTGCAGTTTACATGTTTTTTTGTTTTGTTTTGTTTTAAGGATTTTATTTATTTGACAGAGATCACAGGTAGGCAGAGAGTCAGACAGAGAGAGAGAAGAGGAAGCAGGCTCCTTGCTGAGCAGAGAGCCTGATGTGGGGCTCGATCCCCAGACCCTGAGATCATGATCTAAGCCAAAGGCAGAGGCCTAACCCACTGAGCCACCCAGGTGCCCCCAGTTTACATGTATTAAAGGTGAACCTCTAAACCTGTTTTTTTAGATTCCAGTGTGGTGTGTTTTTCTACTGTGCTGATCAGGTTTGCCTTGTACAAAGCAAAATAGATTAACTGTCACCAGTTAATATCATTCCGAACTCAGTGTGTTGATCTCTTCCCAGAAATGCATCCCTTAAATTCCTCTGTAATTATTATAGGGGCTGTACTCCCATTTCTTATCTATTTTTTACATGAGTCTGCTCTTCTGTGTTTTAATTTGCCTGAGAAAGAATCCTAAATGGGTATCTTTTTATTTTGTTTATCTTTGGCATTGCTGTTTTGTTTGGATTTCGATTCCATAAGATCAAATCATGTGAGCATGTGAGTCATGGTAAATTAAAGAAGTACCTAGGGTTCCCCTTTTCCCCATTTTTTTGTCTTGAATCTACAGAGGAATTCCATGTTGTCAACCTAGTGTTTTTATTTTTCTGAAATCTTTTCTGAAATTAAGAATTCAGGAAAAAGTAAACACTGTTCCCTGCATGTTTACATGTGGGATTTCATATGAGGTTTTTTGTTTGTTTGTTTTTGTTTTTTCCCTTTGGTTCTTTGTTTGAAAGAGTTTTAGACAAAGGATTTTTTTTTTTTTTTCCCCACTAAAAAAGTGGCAGAGAGATTTGGGGAGGTAAGTTTGGAATGCATGTAAAGGACTTTGAATGCCAGCACAAAGATTTGAAGTTTATCTTGGGGAGCCACATGATTAGAATGATGTTTTAGACACAGTAGTATAGAAGATAGAGCCATCTGATGTGTCTGATATCTGACTAGTTTAGATTAACAGTAATGCTAGGGTGTCAGTACCCTAACTCCAATAAAACTTAATATTTGAAAAAGACATTGTAATTCAACAAAACATATAGATGACTAATGATTTTTGAGATTGCCATTAAGGCTTAAGACTAACATTATCCACATTCCAAGGGGAGAGTACCACCTGGTCATTCCTACCCTGGTAGATCAGATATTGCACTCTTTATAGCACAATTTTTCTTACTGTTCTTTAATTACTACTGTATGGATTTACCACTAACCTCTCTGTGCCCCAGTCTTATAAAATGGGGGTGATAATGCCACCTATTTTAAAAAATAGTGTAATAAATAAAGTATTTAATACTGTGTGGGCTTACAATAGAGCCTGGCATAGTGGGAAGTTCAGTAAATGTGAGCTGTAATTAATTATTGTTGTTGCTATCAGATCTGTTAGTTAGAAATGTTTAACAATTTTTATGTTTACAACTTACTTGCATTTTATCTTTAGCTACTCTACTGAAAGCTAGAATGAAACAGTTGCCTGCAGCAACAGTGCGCCTCCTTTCAAGTTCTCAAATAATCACTTCAGTGGTCAGTGTGGTAAAAGAGCTCATTGAAAACTCCTTGGATGCAGGTGCCACAAGCATAGATGTTAAACTGGTGAGTGTCCCTGAGAAACCAAATACTTTAAAGAAAAGAAGGGCTGGGCAGATGATTTCTCCTTACAGCGATTACCTTTCTTTTCTTTTTTTGTACTAATAAATTATTTTGAGGATGTTGCATTTTTTGTCTTAAGAGGAAATTCTTAAAAATAAGTTTTAATTTAAATCGATACTGCAATAACACTAAAGTAAATTCTGAAAGAAAACTTATTCTTTAGGACTCCATCACCTAAAATGTGAATCTAATTTGTCCATATTTTCTACTAATTATTGTTGGTTATTCATATTTATTTATTTTATACTCATCTGCATTTTATCTTTTCCACCTAATCTGATTTCAAAACTAAAGCCCTTATTGTGTCATAGTTTTCATATTAGAAGATCTTAAATGCTATATATTAAATTGTTTGAGTTAATATGACTTATGACACTTTTTATGGTTTGTTACAATTAGTTGGCATATCTACCTCCATTATTACAAACTAGTTTGTAGAAGTGAGGTCTATATTTTTTTCATTTTTGTGTCCTCCATACGTGGCCAGTGCATGGTAAATAAATGGTGAATAAATTGTTTGAGTAAATAGAGGAATACATTTTTTTGTGATCTTCTAATTATCATATATTTACATTTAGTATTACAACATTAGAAGTAGTAGCGATAATGTTTGTAGTAAAGAGACTTACTTTTTCTATATATATATACAGAGATAGCTTATATATAGAATGCATGTATATGGATATATATGTAGTTGCAGTTGCTCCTTATAAAAACCCTGGGATTTCTCTACTACTATACCTTTTTTTTTTTTTTTTGTAAACAATAATGAAGGTTCTGAGAACTTGCCCCAAATCCTATAATTGGTAAGTAGTGAATCTGAGATTTCAGTTCAGATCCTTGTGTTTCTAAAACTCACTCAAGATCTTTGCTCTGTGCTAGTGGTTTTAATAATATTTGGGTACATCAGACTACTTTAGAGAGTTTATTAAAACAGTTACTGGGCTCTAGAATTTCAGATTTTAGGTGGGGCCCAAGAATTTACATTTGCAACAAGTTTTTGTTGATGCTGAGAACTGCTATTCTGTATCATACTAAACCTGTATTTGTTGTGAATAATATACATTTGGCCCTTGAACAGCATAGGTTTGAACTGCATAAATTTTTGACTTTTTTTTTTTGATCAGTATAGTACTGTAAATATATTTTCTATTCCTTAGGATTTTCTTAATATTTTCTTTTTTAAAATTTCTTTTTTAAAGTTTATTGTTAATATATATAATACATATAACATACAAAATATGTGTTATTTGACTTTTGGTGTTATTAGTAAGGCTTCTAGTCAATAGTAGGCTATAAAGAGGAGGCTTGGAAGATGGTGGACTAAGAGAATCCTAAGCTCACCTCATCCCAGAGATACAACTAGATAACAATCACATCAGTGTAAATAACCCAGAAAAGACCTGAGGTCTGACAGAAAGAACTCCATAACTAAAGGTAGAGAAGAGGCCACATCAAAAAGAGTAAGAAGGGCAGAGATGCAATGGGGAGTGAAACAGACCATGGTGTTTCATGGAGGGGAGAAAGCAGCAGGCATGGAAAGGGGAGAGAAGCTATGTCATACTAGGGAACCTGCACGGGGAAGATGAATCCCTGTATTTGGCTTTGGAAGCCAAAGGGGCTCAATTTCATGAATTCCTAAAACCAGAAGGTCTTAAAGCCTGGAATTTTTTTTTTTTTTAAATTTTATTTTTTTTTTTCCAGCATAACAGTATTCCTTGTTTTTGCACCACACCCAGTGCTCCATGCAATCCTTGCCCTCTCCAATACCCACCACCTGGATCCCCCAACCTCCCACCCCCCGCCCCTTCAAAACCCTCAGATTGTTTTTCAGAGTCCATAGTCTCTCATGGTTCACCTCCCCTTCCAATTTCCCCCAACTCCCTTCTCCTAACTCCCCTTGTCCTCCATGCTATTTGTTATGCTCCACAAGTAAGTGAAACCATATGATAATTGACTCTCTCTGCTTGACTTATTTTACTCAGCATAATCTCTTCCAGTCCTGTCAATGTTGCTACAGAAGTTGGGTATTCATCTTTCTGATGGAGGCATAATACTCCATAGTGTATATGGACCACATCTTCCTTATCCATTCGTCCATTGAAGGGCATCTTGGTTCTTTCCCCAGTTTGGCGACCGTGGCCATTGCTGCTATAAACATTGGGGTACAGATGGCCCTTCTTTTCACTACATCTGTATCTTTGGGGTAAATACTCAGTAGTGCAATGGCAGGATCATAGGGAAGCTCTATTTTTAATTTTTTAAGGAATCTCCACACTGTTCTCCAAAGTGGCTGCACCAACTTGCATTCCCACCAGCAGTGTAAGAGGGTTCCCCTTTCTCCACATCCTCTCCAACACATGTTGTTTCCTGTCTTGCTAATTTTGGCCATTCTAACTGGTGTAAGGTGGTATCTCAGTGTGGTTTTAATTTGAATCTCCCTGATGGCTAGTGATGATGAACATTTTTTCATGTGTCTGATAGCCATTTGTATGTCTTCATTGGAGAAGTGCCTGTTCATATCTTCTGCCCATTTTTTGATATGATTGTCTGTTTTGTGTGTGTTGAGTTTGAGGAGTTCTTTATAGATCCTGGATATCAACCTTTTGTCTGTACTGTCATTTGCAAATATCTTCTCCCATTCTGTGGGTTGCCTCTTTGTTTTGTTGACTGTTTCCTTTGCTGGCAGAAGTTTTTGATAGTGATGAAGTCCCAAAAGTTTATTTTCGCTTTTGTTTCCTTTGCCTTTGGAGACATATCTTGAAAGAAGTTGCGGTGGCTGATATTGAAGAGATTACTGCCTATGTTCTCCTCTAGGATTCTGATGGATTCTTGTCTCACGTTGAGGTCTTTTATCCATTTTGAGTTTATTTTTGTGTACGGTGTAAGAGAATGGTCGAGTTTCATTCTTCTACATATAGCTGTCCAGTTTTCCCAGCACCATTTACTGAAGAGACTTCTTTCCACTGTATATTTTTTCCTGTTTTGTCGAAGATTATTTGACCATAGAGTTGAGGGTCCATATCTGGGCTCTCTACTCTATTCCACTGGTCTATGTGTCTGTTTTTATGCCAGTACCATGCTGTCTTGGTGACCACAGCTTTGTAGTAAAGCTTGAAATCAGGTAATGTGATGCCCCCAGTTTTATTTTTGCTTTTCAACATTTCCTTAGCGATTTGGGGTCTCCTCTGGTTCCATACAAATTTCTGGATTATTTGCTCCAGCTCTTTAAAAAATACAGGTGGAATTTTGATTGGAATGGCATTAAAAGTATAGATGGCTCTAAGCAGTTTAGACATTTTAACAATGTTTATTCTTCCGATCCAAGAGTATGGAATGGTCTTCCATCTTTTTGTGTCTTCTTCAGTTTCTTTCATGAGTGTTCTGTAGTTCCTCAAGTACAGATCCTTTACCTCTTTGGTTAGGTTTATTCCCAGGTATCTTACGGTTCTTGTTGCTATAATAAATGGAATTGATTCTCTAATTTCCCTTTCTGTATTTTCATTGTTAGTGTATAAGAAAGCCACTGATTTCTGTACATTGACTTTGTATCCTGCCATGTTACTGAATTGCTGTATGAGTTCTAGTAGTTTCGGGGTGGAGTCTTTTGGGTTTTCCATATAAAGAATCATGTCATCTGCGAAGAGAGAGAGTTTGACTTCTTCATTGCCAATTTGGATACCTTTTATTTCTCTTTGTTGTCTGATTGCTGTTGCTAGGACTTCTAATACTATGTTGAACAAGAGTGGTGAGAGTGGGCATCCTTGTCGTGTTCCTGATCTCAGCGAGAAGGCTGCGAGGTTTTTCCCATTGAGGATGATATTTGCTGTGGGTCTTTCATAGATTTTATGAGGTTCAGGAATGTTCCCTCTATCCCTATACTTTGAAGTGTTTTAATCAGGAACAGATGCTGGATTTTGTCAAATGCTTTTTCTGCATCAATTGAGAGGACCATGTGGTTCTTCTCTCTTCTCTTATTAATTTGTTCTATTACATTGATTGATTTGCAAATGTTGAACCATCCTTGTAGCCCAGGGATGAATCCCACCTGGTCATGGTGGATAATCTTTTTAATGTGCTGTTGGATCCTGTTTGCTAGGATCTTGTTTAGAATCTTAGCATCCATATTCATCAGTGATATTGGTCTGAAATTCTCCTTTTTGGTAGGGTCTTTGCCTGGTTTGGGGATCAGGGTAATGCTGGTTTCATAGAAAGAGTCTGGAAGTTTTCCTTCTGCTTCAATTTTTTGAAACAGCTTCGGGAGAATAGGTGTTACTTCTTCTTTGAAAGTTTGGTAGAATTCCCCAGGGAATCCATCAGGTCCTGGGCTCTTGCTTTTTGGGAGGTTTTTGATCACTGCTTCAGTCTCGTTACTAGATATCGGTCTATTCAGGTTGTCAATTTCTTCCTGGTTCAATTTTGGGAGTTTATAGTTTTCCAGGAATGCATCCATTTCATCTAGGTTGCTTCGCTTATTGGCATATAACTGTTGATAATAACTTCTGATGATTGTTTCTACTTCCTTGGTGTTAGTTGTGATCTCTCCTTTTTCATTCATAATTTTATGAATTTGGGCTTTCTCTCTTTTCTTTTGGATTAGTGTGGCCAGTGGTTTATCAATCTTATTGATTCTTTCAAAAAACCAGCTTCTAGTTTCATTGATACGTTCTACTGTATCTCTGGTTTCTACTTCATTGATCTCAGCTCTAATCTTGATTATTTCCCTTCTTATGTGTGGAGTTGGTTTGATTTGTTGTTGATTCTCCAGTTCTTTAAGGTGTAGAGACAGCTGGTGTGTTCTGGATTTTTCAGTTTTTTTGAGGGAAGGCCCGGAATTTTAAAATCAGCAGCCTCCATTCTGGGAAAGCCTGGAGAGCAAGAGGAAGCTGAATCCCTGCACTTAAAGAGAGGACAACAAACAGCCCTCGGAGTTACAGCTTAGA